TGAAATTATATATTTACCAAAATAAAAAGTAGTCTATATCACTCATGGAGGATATATATTTCTAACAATGAGAGAACTTTCAAAATCGGATCATTAATACCGGAGATTACTCCGAACATTCAAACTCACTGGCTTTACCTCTTTATAATATTATTTATTAGGAAATAGGATCACTCTTTCATTAAGTAGAGAAAGAAAGAAAGAAAGAAAGAAATAATTTAATCGAAGAAGCATGCGGCCCACACAGTAGCGCACAAAACAAGAACAAAAGAAATAAGTACACTTATTAATTCATAATTCCGTGACACCAAACACGATCTGAACTCACGCGGGAGATCTAGGACATAATAATACTCGTATCAACGTAAATCATGTGTGAGCACGTATTGTCCCATGTCCACAGTTCATGGGACGTAAACGACACAATTTAAAGTGTAGCACGTGGCTCGTGGGCGAATTTATATATTTTAAATGGGCCAAGCGGAGAATGACGTTATAATATACCGAGCTGTGGAAAACATTAGCCTCTTTTCTTTAACGGTCGAGTAAAAATAGGCAACACTTACATGCCGCGATGAATCCAATTTTAATTTTTATAATTTGAATGTTGATATTTGTTTAATACAGTAAACAGTAATAGTATGATTTTTATCAAAGTAACAGCATAAAGTGAATCATCATCTTCCTACACTTATCCCAATCATTTGGGGTCGGCGTAATATAATTTTATCCATATTACAAAAAGATTTGGTTTTTTTAGTTTTACGACGGGCCATCTGCCTAACGTCAACCCTCTTTCGGAATGCATTTGTTGGTGGTTTCCGCCAACTACGGTATGGAGAAAAGGATTGAGGAAAAAAGAAAGGGAACGTTGGAAAAGCGTAAAGGAAATTGGTGAATGAGGGGAATAAGGGACTTATGTGGGAAAGGAAAGGGGGGGGGGGGACACTGCAGTTGCGGAAAGGACTGGGACACTGCAGCGGCTCGGGAGGCCGGGATCGCATACCCGTATGCCCTTATTCTAGAATCAGACACATTTCTAGAGAAGAACACCCCTAACATGAATATTGAATCCATAATGACAGTGCAAAATAACAAGGTTGTTACGATTTCAATTCTTCAATTTTTTTTATACAACTTATACTAAATTTTTTTATACAAAATAAACCAAACTCTAGTTGCGGTTAAGCTGTTGACCTAACCCAGCGATCGGATAGCCTTGGTTGTTATAAACGCGTGAAAAATATGTTTTCTTTTGCGCAACCGGCCATCCATTAGCACGATGGTGCGTAGGAAACAAACAGCCGCATAGTTGCTTCCAACTGTTTTGTTGGTACAGCGATCCGAACTAAATCTTTAACAAATTTCAATAGTTAGTTATAATATTTTTTTGCAACTTAGAATGGCAAACAAGCTGATGGCCCACCTGATGGAAAGTGGTAACTGTCGCCTGTAGACATGAGCAGTACCATGGACAGAACAGAGTATATTGTTTCGCCCATGATACCCCCCATGTGTTGCCATTCCTGAAGACTCGGGTGTTATTCCTCTGTACCCAGTAAATTCACGCCATTTCCCACCCTTCAAACCGAAACACAGCCATGCAAACACAACTGCTACACGGTAGAGACACGAATGGGACAGAGGTGCCCAAGCAAACGAATTTTTGTACAAAATTATGTATAATATATTATGTATAGTATAATATAAGCTCGTTTTAAAAAAAAAACCGACTACTACTCGTATTATGACGAAATCAGTTATTTTGATTTAAAAACTAAATCACTGAACCGATTTTGATATAATTTTCATGGAAGCAATCTACAATTATATCCTTTCATTAAAAAAAAAACTAAATTATATAGTTTATAACTAACGGAGTTATGTGGTAACAAACACAAAAAAATACAATTGAAATGAGAACTTCCTTCTTTTTGAAGTCGGTCAAATATTAGTACGAAATCATGCCGTGGTACACTAAATTATAAGTGCCTTATGAAATAAAAATAAATAAATAAATACTACGAGCGTAGAGTAAAAATTAAAAATTTTAAACTACTATTAAAATAAGAAAGACGTGAAACATGATTATAGCACATCTAAAAGATATGAATTTTAAAAGATCAAATACTGTATGGGAACATAAACTACCGTCATAGCATTCTAAATGTAAAAGCGAGATTGAATGTTTGTTTTTCTTTCGACGATCGTCAAAACAAATTCACAAATCTCTAAAATATCGCGTAACACAAATAATAAAATCGAAATGAATGAATTAATTACATAATCTATATATATATATATATATATATAATATATATATATATATATATATATATATATATATATATATATATATATATATATATATATATATATATATATATATATATATATATATATATATATATATATATATATATATATATATTATAGACAAGAAAGATGGTGATGATGTACATAAGTGAAAGTTTACAGATAATCTGTTGGTAAACGATCACTGTAGACTATGGACGCCTGCAACACTAGGGGTGTCACGTGCGCGTTGCCGACTCTGAGGAAACTTTAATATTATATATTAATATACCTACGTTTTTTAAAAACCCTATACCCATCTGATTTTGATCAGTATCGTGGAAATAAAAAAAGGGCGTTAAATCACTGGGGTCAATTCAGAAATACAATTCTCTATCTAAAATCACAGTTTAAGCTCAAAATTAAATTTTAAACTAAATTAAAATTCAATTTAACAGGAAAATCTTACTTACAATGCCCATTATGAACTACAATAATAGATCTGAAAAATAGATTTTTTTTTTATTTGTTTAACACTTTATTGCAACAACATTACAGGATTTTTTGAAGATTTTTCAATAAATATAGTGTAGTACAAAAGTTTAGTTCCAAATTAACCGAAACCTTAGATATAATCGTATATATAATTATTACTCTAAACTCAAAACGTATTAGTTTTATTAAATTATTTGTTTCTTTTTAATTTTAGTGATAGATTTTAAGAATGGCTCTTCAGAATCGACTCCACTGCTTTTCAATTACGCGCCCCCTTCCAACGAAGAATTGAAAAGCTACTTTTGGTAGTGGCTAAAAATGTCAACTCGTAAATCCTTATTGAGGCAACAAAAACTCGAAAATAACAAACGGTCCCACCGGTATTAACTGGATATATCCGGTTCAAAAGAAAATAATTTTATTATTCTATTACAAAAGCCTTTTTAACGACCATCCACATTTACATGTGAATTAACGCGACCGTTGCTAACACTGGCAGTGTTACTCGTAGCAATTTTTCTCCTTTTCACAATATAATGAAATGCTTTGTTCGCAAATGTTTCATGCGGCATAATATATTTACGGCCCATTTACAAATAAGATTTACAGCCTACACGGACACGCTGAGAGACAGCTACACGAAGAGAGATCGTAATTTAAAATATAGCTTGTATAGAATAAACAATTTATTATAATACATTTTATTTAAAATAAATATTTGGAATATGTTCAAAATGAACCTTCATTGAAATCGATAATTTTAGTTTTTTTTTTATACCACTGAGGTGGCAAACAAGCATACGGCCCACCTGATGGTAAGCGGTTACCGTAGCCTATGAACGCCTGCAATACCAGAGGTATTACGCGCGCGTTGCCGACCCTGAAGAAACCTCTTTACCCCCTTTTGAAGAACCCCATACTGTAGTCTCTTGGGAAAACCTCGGCAGGGAGCTCATTCCATAACCTGAGTGTTCGTGGGAGAAAACATCTCTGAAACCGCGTTGTACACGACCATTTAGGATGTAAGGTATGAGGGTGAACTCCCTGTCGATGGCGAGCCGTACGATGATAGAAAGTGGCCGCAGGCATCATATTGAATAATTCCTCTGAGCGCAATCCGTTGTACAAGCGGTGGAACACGCAGAGTGAGGCATAAGTTTATTACAAAAATTAAATTAAAAATAAATTAATAATAACAAAATAAAATACATCACGTCAACAAACAGTAATGTATTGTACTCGTATTGTAAATTTTATTGTACATAATTTACATTGGACGCACAAAAAGATTTAATATACAATGACAGACTTATTCCACAGAGGGATTTCTCACAGTCAACTTTTGAAAAGCCGAAAGAAATCTATAGAATACTATATATAGAACACGACGGTATTTTAATTTAAAATTAATATAATTATTAAAAAAAAATCTATGTAAAGAAAAGAACCAGCATACTTATAAACATATTAACATTTATTATAAATAAAATGTAATTTATTCTTATACAAGTTATATTTTAAAATGTACAGAATAAATTACATTTTATTTAAAATAATAAATATGTAACATGTAGAATTATTACAACCAAGTTTTGAGTAACAGTCGTGAGTCAATATAGATACGTCTTTAACTATTTACTCACAACCATTTTTAATATAATAACAAACATATCTGTTTTACCAAAGGTTGACTGGTAGAGAATGCTGTATAGCATTAAGTCCTATTTTTGTACCAAACATTTGTTTGTAATGTGGCCAATAAAATATAAATAAATAAATAAAAACGACCAGAAAGGTAAACTATATAACTTGTCATGTCAGCCTCCACGCAGTTCACTATGGAAACTATCAAGTCAAGAGACCTGCTTTCATCCCACCTATCATCTTTCACTAATGGAGTCAAAGGGATTGTTAGTAATGGGGTCTAACTAACCCATTGGTAGCAATACACCCTATCAGGTCGACCTCCACGCGGTTCCCCCTGGAAACCAACGTGCTGAATTCCAGATGTATCCAATTCTTCTCGATGGACTAACTGGCCTGCTTACATCCACACATATCATCCCTCACTGGTGCCCCGTCAGCGTATACCGTCATCGCAGGCGGGGTTACCATTCCATTATCATCCTAAACCTTTCATTAGTGCTAACACCATACCTTTATCGCCTCTAAAAATATATACTGTAGGAGTTAAAATTCGGATCACTTACCTGATTGGTGGTGAGGTCCCATTGGTCGGCTACGAAGGAGTGCCTGCTGTACAGGAACACAGGCACCTGATGGTCCTTCACGGGAGTCGGGTCTGTGTTCACCCGCACCACTGTCAGATGCGTGGTCGTTGTGCCCACTGTGAACAAAGACATTCTTATCTATATATATACTTATATTTTTTGTATGTTCGTTTGTTATTTATAAACTCAAAAAGTATTTAAACCATTTTTAAAAATCTTTTCACCTTAGATTATATAGATAGAGCAAGGAATCTCAAAAACCTCAACTTTTTGTCAGCTAATTATCAAATTAGCTGACTCGATTTTTTATCAGTGTTCTATATATTTACCCGCATAATCTATCTTGACGTATCTATATTTAATTATTTTATAAATAAAATGAGTCTTTACGCATTAAAAAGATGCAAAAGTTATAAAACAAAATAAATATAGAAGTTACAAAGGAAACACTCATAATTATTCATCGCGCAAAATTGTATGAACAAGTTGGCCCGCTTTTCTGAAAGCATTTGTATGGAGACAATCTATATAATCTAGCTAATAATAATATAAACTACATAATTATTTCAAGAAAATTAGAAATCTCTATGGAAATTTCAATAATGTAAGCTAATATATCAATAAATTGCCTATTAAAGCTAATATAAAATACTAATTTATTTTTCCATCACTCTACCTATGCGAAGTTGAGGCGGATTACTAATAGACGAATATTTGTATAAGCATAGTTTGTCTACGACAACGCGGCACGCGCCTCATTTACTGAACCTTTTTTGTTAAAATTTCTATCAGATCAATCTGTAAGAATATCGTTTCAGATAAAAAAAAAAATTCAAAATCGGTCTATAATTGACGGAGTAATAAGGTAGCGAACAGAAAAAATACCTACAATTGAATTGAGAAACTCATTCTTTTTGAAATCGGTTGAAAATGATATAACCATATTTATACCAGAGGAAGACTTTGTACAAAAGTCGTTTGCTTGGGTACCTCTGTCACAATCACGTTTCAACCGTAAACCAGTTGTGTTTGCATGGCTGTATTTCGGTTTGAAGGCTGGGATATGGCGTGAATTTACAGGGTACAGGGGAATAACACTTGAGTCCTCAGGAATGGCAACGCATGGGGAGTCTCATTGGCGAAACAGTATACTCTGTTATGTCCGTGGTACTGCTCATGTCTATAGGCGACGGTTACCACTTTCCATCAGGTGGGTCGTCAGCTTGTTTGCCATTCTAAGTTGTATAAAAAAACCATAGCTAAAAGTGCAAAACACGATGACCCACTTTCTAACAAAAACAAAATATTGATATTGATTTATTCATTTGAAAGATTTGAAGCTACATACAGCTGCATGCTTCAGAATCAAAAACCATTTTTTGTGATGAAAATTATGAAAAATTCTCGTATATACATTAGTTTCAAAATAAATGTCGCTAAACATCGTCGTGTTTGCTACATCCATTTTAGTGGAAATTAAAACATCTTGAATATTTTTCTTTTATTAATAATACATATAATAAAATCGTAACTGGTCGCTGTCTGTACATTGAAGATATATAAGAAAAATTATTACGGGCGCTTTATGAACGCAATAGAACTAAAAACAATGATTTTTAGAATGTTTGTCTGTACTGTTTATCTATACGTTTGTGCACGCTAATCTCAGAAACAGCTTAATCGATATGAATGCAGTTTTCACTAATGCATTGCGGTTTTCTCTACGTAACATTTAATGTTTTATTTCAATCGGTTCGTAAATAAAAAAGTTATATCAATCTAAAGAATCACATATAAAATGCTATAAAATAACGATCAGTTGCATTGGCTGAAACTTTATGAAGGCTTTTTTTATATATACAACTTAGAATGGCAATTAAGCTGACGGCCCACCTGATGAAAAGTGGTAACCGTTACCTATAGACATAAGCAGTACCATGGACATAACAGAGTACACTGTTTCACCCGTGATACCCCCCATGCGTTGCTATCCCTGAGGACTCAGGTGTTATTCTTTTGTACCCTGTAAGGTATTAAGTACGTAATTATCATTTAAATATAAAATACAATATACGACCGGATCCATGAAGAGTTCCAATGGGAATGATATACGGGAACTACAAAGTTAGAAGCGGGTAACGGTAAAATTAAAAAATATACAGTAATTAGTTTTGAATAATCTGTACTAAATGAACAAAAGACTTAGATTAAGCTTCATATATTATGTACAATAGCTGCGTTAATCTACAATTTATGAAGCCAGCCATTCACGAACAAGATAACGTGTAATCAGGGACTAACAGATGTTATTATGATATTAGTCTAACATATCACACGATTTCTTATCAATAGGTATATTAAAATATCGTCGTATTATATTAATACTCGTTCTTAATGATTCAGATGCAATAGATTGCGTAATATTTAATAATATACAGGATTGTCGTGTAGTCTCGGCATCGAATAGACCACCATTTTCTTTCCTGTGGGTGCCATAAGAGCCGATTACGGGAGGGCAAGGGATGGGCAGCAGTGTCCCTCTTAAAGCATCTTTAAGGCCTGACTGCAGTTGCCAGTTTGCCTGTCAAGTGTGGCAACTAATGCAAAACCGCCCTAGGGAGAGGCTTACGTTCAGCAGTGGATAGTTAAAGGCCGATATGATGATGAAGAATATACAGGATGGAATTGAAATAATTAGCATAGTTTTAAAAAAAAATCTATTAAGGAATCTCAATATTTTCACCAAATTAACATGGATAGGAAAACGATATAAAATTTTGAGTCTCTTTTACACGGCGCGTCCAAATGTTGAGTTAACATAAATAGTATAAATAGCATAGCTCATGTTTTGGATTTTTCTGTCCTATATTTTATAACATGTGAGAGAGGTTTCTCCTCTACTGAGCAGTTTTTGCCCAGTATGCCATTTGCAACTTAGTGTCCTTTATATAAAAATCCTTCATTTCTTTTTTTATTAATTTCTCCTCTTTTTTTCTCAACCCTTCCTTTCATATCGCAGGTAGCGGCACCAGTGAGGGATGATAGATGAGGATAAATACAGGTCGGTTAGCCCATTGTGACGAATTCAGCATGACATAACAAACAACAACATAATTACCACGACGGTTTCCAGGAGGAACCGCGTTCAGGTCGATCTGGTTGGGTATCTTGATAGTAATGGGGCTCGTAAACCCCATTACTAACAAACGTCAGGCCGGTCGTAAAACCATAAGCCAAAACCTTGTGTAATATGTATAAAAAGATATTACGCTGACCCCAAATAATCGGGATAAGGGCAGGAAAATGACGATGATTTTATAACATGAGTAGATTCAAATTCTTAATTTTATATATCTCTAACAATCTATCATTCTCTTTTCGGTTGATCACATTCATAGAACATAATAATATTGTTCTGTTATGTCCATGGCACTGCTCATGTCTATAGGCGACGGTTAACACTTTCCATCAGGTGGGCCGTCAGCTTGTTTGCTATTCTAAGTTGCATAAAAAAATATTGTCCTTGTCGGTGTGGCCACATGGCTATTATGAAAAAAATATATATGTATAGTAAGGTAAGTGACTGTAAACATTGCACTGCCTTTACTATACAGATATGTTCAGTTATCTGATAAGACTGTGTGAAGGGCTCAACAAATTTAAAACCGTTCATAGTATGTTTTTCATTTCCTTGTGTGAACCAATTTAAGCGATTCTAAATACAAGTATATTTTTAGTCTCAATTCGCAAGTCTCTTTTTAGAAGCAACCTTTTTAATTTATGTGAAAATAAATAATTTATTTCTCTCCAATTCGTTACAATATTTTTAAAGTTATATACTTATGATATTACACATATTTGGAGAGAATTGTTATGGTATGTGTCTAGAAATTTTGATTGTCACGAAGATCTAAAATCTAGACAAAGAATCCCGTGTTCTTAATCCAATAAATGTGTTCATAAAACGTCTCGTTTATAAATGTACTTTACGATGACATTCGCCGTTTTTTTTTTGCAGATCAAAATATATTTATGAATTAAAATTTTCAATGTACATTACAAAATAAAAAAGTATTTATTTTCAAATAATGGAACACATTCTGAGATGCCATTTATCTTTAAATCTTTTTTCGGATTTCTATATTTATTTCGATCGGATGCTTCATTTCGATAACTGATATTTAATATGTTCGTTATTAGGGCAATATATCTATAGATATTTTAACCACAATATATAGATACCGCTAACCAAACACTACTAACAATCTCGCCGTCTCAATTCATTCCGCAACATCTGCCTTACATAGAGCAGTTTTAATAAACGTTCAAAAATAATTTATAGAAATTGTTTGGTTTTAAAATTTGCCAGATTATGATGTGTAGTTATTGCCATTCTTATGGCGTATACTTGTATGGTCCAGGAAGTACTAAGCTAGTATTTAACGAGTCAATTTGTATGTAAATTAAGACAAGGTCATCAGAATTTGAGCGGACGATGAGAATTCATAACGTGTTTGGTGGATATGAATCAGAAGCAAAATTTAGTATATATATATATAGTAAATAAATACTCTGCAGCATATTGTACTGTGCCATCTAGTGTTAAACTAAGCAAAGGTCATAATGTTTGGTATATACATAGTATTTGAGATAGTGAAAAACAAGGAGTTCTTTTTACTTGGCGGATATTGAACCTGCAAGCATCATACCGTGAGGCAGTGTGTTTAATTGCCACACTACCCAAGGTCACCACAACTCAAACGATATGAATCAAATAAATACAATAACAACTAGAACAAAGAAAATACCTACAAGAAACCAGCTTTATACATATTAAATATTTCTCCTTTTAGTCTGAGTAAATAACAAATTTATACAGTATTGTTTGGATTGACAAATTTAAGATGGTATTTAATATAGTCTTTATTTTCTAAGCGATAAATACGATTATTGCTTAACTCAGTTGTAATTTTGTATAATTTAGTGCGATTGGCGCGTAGCAACGACGCTCAATACCTAAATAACATTAATACAATTATGTATTTCTTATCTGAACCACATATGTATTTCATTTATACTGCGATGTGGAGCAAATTGCTCGCCATGTTGTAAACAACTGATTGATAAGAGGTCATTGGCCTATTTAATGGCAAACAACAATATCCCCTCCTTTCCCGTGGATGTCGTTATAGGCGACTAAGGGAATTCCATAAGGGAATTGGGTAAGGACTAAATGCGGTTGCCAACCCGTCTGCCAAACGTGGCAACTACTAACAAAACCCTCCAAGGGGAAAGCCTATGTTCAGCAATGGACAGTTAACGGCTATATCAAACAATACAAAATTTTATGACAATGGGAGAATAAGCTTTAATCCACAACAGTTAAGGTTTTTTATCCCATCTTCCAGGTAGCAGATAATTATTAGTATTTACCATTTTGCCCTTTCCCTAAATATATAAAATAAATCCCTTTTATATAGCATATCAAGATACAAAATAGACTATATTTTACATTAGACCTTCTGAAACTGAACTATAAAATCCGCATGCAATTTGGTGCAGCAGTTTTTACATGATGTCGGAACGAACATACAGATAGATAGAACCCCTTATTAGGGTGGAAAGGGATTATTAGTAATGCGGACTACCAGTCCGCATTACTAATAATCGTATTACATTACTAATAATAGTAATTTTAATATATTATTAGTAAGATACAAGTAACATAGTAGGATGGGTTCTAGCAGCAATTTGCTAGCAATACTCCTAAAGGTCCACGTCCACTTCCTTGCAGTCCTCCAACGTGGTGCATTCATCATGATGGGTCACTTGTCCTACCGTCATTCTTTCCTATATCCCGCCAAGGCAATCGGAACTAGTATTCCATTTTCAACAGTTAAAAAAAAAACTTGATCTTTTACACTAAGATAAAGAATTACTTTAGAACTACTTTATCTCAGCCGATATTTTCAAGTACTGTGTCATAGATTAAAAATAGTATCTGCGTCTCTCTCATAATAATTTATCTATGCTATGTCTCTGTCTCTCTGGTAAACGTACCTGTTAAATTCGTTTGTTTATACACACAAGCCGATATATATACTAATATATTCACAGATTTATGATGTAATGTGCTAAACACTCGTGATTTTGCCATAGTAAATAAAACTGTATTTCTATGCATTGAAGATCGAAATCACAACAAAAGTTACACCACTAGAATTTAATTATCGCTACAGTATTAATTAAATTAGGTATATCTACGCATGATACAATGGTTTATCTTTTTATTGTGCACCAGCCTGTGTTAATAGTGCACGATGGCAGGATAAAAGTGAGGGATCAAGGATGAAACAATAAGATAAAATCAAGTAACTTTTTTTTATACAACTTAGAATGGTAAACAAGCTGACGGCCCACCTGATGGAAAGTGGTAACCGTCGCCTATAGACATAAGCAGTACCATGGACATAACAGAGTATACTGTTTCACCTATGATACCCCCGATGCGTTGCCATTCCTGAGGACTCAGTTGTTATTCCTCTGTACCCTGTAAATTCACGCCATATCCCACGCTTCAAACCGAAACACAGCCATGCAAACACAAATGCTTCACGGTAGAAATACGAATGGGACAGAGGTGCCCAAGCAATCGACTTTTGTACAAAGTTCACTTGGCCCAACACAGCAAATTGAGGGTAAGGGATTGTTAGTAATGGGGACCTAACAGCTCTATTGCTAACAATACACCCTATCAGGTCGACCTCGACGCGGGCCCTGCTGGAAACCATCTCTGTCAATTCTTGTACAATTCACGATTCCTCACTTGTCATCTGTCACTGGTGCCCCGTTAACTTATACTGATAGCGTAGACAGCGTTACCATTCCATTATCAGCCATAAAAAAAGACCTCTAAGTGGTTGCTTCTAAAAACCATCTTGGTTAATTCTTATAGAATTCACGATAAGCTTTTAGATCTACTATTCTCCTCTCCTATTATCCATCTCTGGTGCCCCGCCAGCGTATACCGATAACACAGGCGGTGTTACCATTGCATTTTAACTCATTAAAAAAACACTTAATGGACGACGTTCTAGCAAGATATATTGCTAGAAGTGAGCTTGTTAACCTCTGTTATTAATATTTTTTTTAAATTACTAAGTATTTTATTATTATTGAAAATCTTTTCCAAGTAGAAAAACCTGTGACACAGCTACCTTTACATGAACTTTTGTATTCGCCCTTTTTTAAAGTTCGCTGCTAAGTCCTATCAATGATAGGAATTTTAAGATGTATTTTGTAGCGACGTTTTTCATCATTATTAAGTATATTATTTATTTTTTTATTTTTGCTTTTGAATATTACATTATAATTTATTTTCTACGATGTTTTTATGGTAGCGCTTTGTGTTTACAATACGTAGGTGCTAACGTGATAGGAAACCGTATAAAAATACTGTAACATTTGTTGTTTACAACCATTACACTGTAGACCCCAGAAAACGTACAAACTCATGCCTTTGTTCGGTAATACAATTATGTAACAAATAAACAGTGTAAGTACTCTGAATATTTCTTTTTTTTTTTTTTGTTGAGCAGAAAATGTATTTATTGATGATTTTATGTTTAATCAGCACATAAAGTATCTTATGTGATAAATTAGTACATAACCTACTTGTGTACCAAATATTCCTTTGTGTTTTTTTATTTTTTTATGAGTGTAGTAGTACGCGTGTTAGGTCTGGGTTATTTTTGAATTTTTTTGCATTCGAAAGTGTTTTACACAGGGCCGTAGCTACGCCCAATTTTAAGGTAGAGCAAAAGAACTTTTTGGTAGGGCAGAAACCATAATTGACTTCGAAAAAGTGAATCAGTCTAATTTTCTTGGGGCTTTTCATTTTAAGGCAGGGCATTGGGCCTTTTAAGGTAGAGCATTGCCTCTATCCCTCCCCACCCCTCCTTACTACGGCCATAATTTTAACTAATTCTATTATTTATATTTTTGTTATATTTTTTTATTTGTAAAATGTATACGATCTTAGTAACGAATACCCTGAACTATCGTGAATAGTGGCTATTAATTCACCCAGAGAAATCGATAAGAAATTTGATTGTATTAAATTGTTTACTAAATAAGCTAAGCATATAAAAATGACCGATTATAAGTATACCACTTTGAGAGATTAAATTTCGTGAATTGGACATCAATCAAGTATGTTCGGACAGGCCACCCTATACAGGCCAAATTAAAACAATTGTATTCCATCCATAAACAAAACTAAACGTTTTTTTTCTTAAAGACAATTATGTCATGACTAACATATGTAACTACAATATATAGATAGTTCAATATATGTATTACCCACTCTTGAAATATGAACTTCCTTTCAGCTATCAAGTTATTATGGGTCGTAGTTTTGGCCGTCATATCTAAGACTGATATTATCTAATCTTACTAATGATACCCCTCATGCATTGCCATTCCTGGGGACTCAGGTGTTATTCCTCTGTAAATTCATTGTCATATCTTACCCTTCAAACCTAAACGCAGCTATGCGGGGGGAGGGATTGTTAGTAAAGGACAGGTTAGTCCGCATTCATCATCATCATCACCCACCATCATAACTGCCCACTGCCGAACATAGATCTCTCCATAAGGCGGATTTTGCCAGTACTTGCCACGCTTGTAAAGGGGGTTGACAACCGTCGTTAGACTTTCTTAAGAAAGATGCTGCTGCCAATTCCTTGATCATTCAATACCCTTAGTCGCCTCTTGCAACACCCAGGGGAAATGAATGGATGGCCCATTCTACGCCTACATATATATACATATTATTTTGTGTTCATACCTGTAAGGGTGCACATACGCCTACTGTTGATGTCCTGCATGACCTGCCTCATAAGGGTCGAGAGCTGCTTCGCGTCGCCAGACGTCGACTGCTTGGACAACCATTCCGTCTCCAGCTCCATTGACAACTGGATATGATACATAAATTAATTTAATTCTTTCATAATAAAAATAAAAAACGATAAAGCGGATGGGTATAACCACCGCTAAAAGACATAAATATAACTATGGATCCCACATAATAGACAGTGGCACCCAAAGCAACTCTCGTGCGTTGCATTTCTGAAGACTATAGTGGTTTTTTATGGATGATAATGAATTGGTAACCTCTCCTGAGCTAACGATATATACTGGCGGGGCACCAGTGAGGAATGATAGGTGAGTATGAAAGCAAGTCATTTGGCTTATCGTGATAAATTCATCAGAAATTATCCACAATGGTCTTCAGGGAGAACCACGTGGAAGTATTACTAACGATTCTATCGACATATTCGGTACAAAATATTTGATTTTTAGGAAGAACTTGTTTTCTATTTTGTAGAATATGATTGAATATATGTTTTTTTATATAGTTTTATATTTTATATATTTATATGACATTTTAAGTATTTCTTTTTATATTATGTGTTTGCTTTTAATGAATTACTCAAGCTGTGCACATAATGTAATTGGATTATAACCTAACCGAATCACAAATGTAATTATTACTTAAGTTTTTTTATGGTTGTGATCTGTTCTGAACTGGGGGGGGGGGGGGGGCTATTTAGTATCAGCATTGCACCTGTGCAAAGCCGGGGCGGGTCGCTAGTAAATAATATATGAATAAATAAAATATAAAAAATGATGATTAGCTACTGTTATTGTAATGAGTTCATAAAGTGAGCATGGACTCTTCTTTTGAACATGAATTTATTTGAAAGTATGTACCTTTACCCCCAGGACCCCATAGTCCTAGAGGTAAAGCCCATATACCACCATTGTTGTTGTTTTTTTATGCAATTTAGAATGACAAAAAGCTGACGGCCCACCTGATGGAAAGTGGTAACCGTCGCCTATAGACATGAGCAGTACCATGAACCTAACAAAGTATACTGTTTCGCCCATAATACTCCTAATGTATTGCCATTCCTGAGGACTCAGGTGTTATTCCTCTGTACCCTGTAAATTCACTGCCATATGCTACCCTTCAAGCCGAAACTCAGCCATGCAAACAAGTGCTTCAAGGTTGAAACACGAATAGGACAGAGGTGCCCAAGTAAACGACTTTTGTATGTCTCATAAAATCTACCATCGATAAACTATTTATTAATTCTACTATTGGGAATAATACTATGAAAACAATTGGAGAATGATCCAGAAATTTCCATCACTATCTTGTATAAATAAGACTGTCCAACAACTCCCATTGCTGTCGCGCTGTGAATTCCTGGCGTGTTATTTCACCACGCGTGTTAGTTTTAAAACTGCCCGTTTTAATCTATTTCAAACGAGTATTGTTAGCAACTGTATTGCACAATTCATATGCAAACGCTTATATCGTTTGTGACAAAACACCGGACGCCGCTGTCTCGTTTTAGCTCAAGCATGCGGTAGCGTAAACGTATTAACGAATTAGTTCGTTCTCGTTTGCTATTTTCTTGAAGATTCTGGTCGGAACGTTGAGTTAATCTTATATAATCATAAATTATTATAATTTAAAACATAAAAGAGCTTTTTTTACCTCGTAAATGATAGTTTTATAGCGTAAAATCTTCTTTATGTAACTTAAAATGACAAACAAGCCGACTGCCCGCCTGATAGAAAGTGATTTACACAATAGCGTAATTTACACACATGAACAGTTTCATGGACGTCATAGAATATACTGTGACGCCTGTGGTACTCTTCAGGGGGGGGGGTGGAGAAGCTATTGTTAGTAATGGAGATTAGCAAACCCATTGGTAGCAATATACTCTATTAGGTTCCCCCTGGAAACAATCGTGATTGATTTATTATTGAATTCATAACGAAGGGGCCAAGTGACTTGCTTCATCATTACCTCTCACTGGTACCCCGCCAGTGTATACCGATAGAGCAGGCGGGGTAACTATTAAATGAATAAATGAATGAACGATAATTTTATTTGCTTAATAATAAATTTACTCATTCAATTATGATCCTTAAAAAGAGATACTCTTCATGCGTTGGCATTTCTAATGACTAGGGTGACTAAAGACTCCCTCTTGTGACGCTTCAGCCATTACAATATTTTTTTTTCTGTGTTGGGTTGCCAACAAATATTATAAAGAGAAAAAAGATTGATTTTTTATTTATAATTTTAAACTCCAAAATTAGAAGTACTTGATTGATTTTAAAAATTCTTTCGCCTACATTAAGTTACATTATCAACAAGTAACACGGATTGTATTTTATTTAAAAACTACCTATAACTTCATAGTGATTGTTGGTTTAACAATTAAGGCGGAGGGGAATGGGATTATTAATAATGGGGAGGTTAGTCCCCATTGCTATCAATATACCTTATCAGGTCGACCTCCACGCGGATCCCCTTGAAAATCATTGTGACAAATTTATCGCTGAATTCGTCACGATGGGCTAACTGACCTGCGTTTTCATCCTCACCAATCATCCATCACTAGTGCCCCGGCAGTGTATACCGATAACGCAGGCAGGGTTACGATTCCATTATCATCCATTAAAAAAAAAAAAAACAAGGCGCTATAAGATAAACAAACTAACACTTTCACATTTATAATATTAGTAAGGACGTATTAAGTAAGGTCCGTGCCCTCAATAAATTCTTACCTGGTATTTACATTATTTCTATAAATTAAAGCAACACAAATGCAAAACGATGTAAATAGCAGTTGCTATGCTGGCAAATAGTTTTAAAGTTTATTACTAACAGAGTTTGGTCTCTATTACACAAAACATAAGGATGGAAATTAATCGCAACTCCTAATTATGATTCGAAGTAGGGACCATTATGAACAATCAATTTTCATTTAAAAGTGGCAGCTCTGTAAACATCCTGCACAAGAGACAAGGTTGAACACATTATTATCCGACTGTTACAGAAAGGACAGTAATGTTTTAAGGAATAATACATTTGTTTTTAAATGGATTTATATTTAATTGAATTATTAGATTTATTTAATTTAAAGGAACGGTAACTTCGGCTTAGGATGAAGAGGCAGATGAGTTAGTCTATCATGATGAATTCGCTTGGAATTGAGTATGATTATTTCCATATGGAACCGTGCGGAGGTCGACCTGACAGGCTCTCAGGAAAAAAATTCAATTTGATATCACAACGAAATCTATATGCTTAGGATTAATATTAAATAAATTTCTAATAGATTAAAGTCACAATTATTGTATGTTTACTTTATAATTGTGATAGATGAAAGAATAATTACGAAAGAGATTTATCAAGCAAAAATTAATGTAGAATCGCTAGGAGCCGCCCTAGATGGACATATGCTACGGCGACCAAATAGGTAACGTGCTGAAGAAGGGTCAAATTAAAAGTACCCGTAACCGGCGAGCGTGTATGAAAAGATTGATGAATGTGGAGGAACCGTAAGAGGCTTGTTTAAATCGAAGCATTTGGCGTTCCATTGTTTCTGTTTACCCTAATGGGAGACAGTCGTGACAAATATTTATGTACTTATATACATTTATAATGGTCCATAAAATAGTAATTTCGCAAAATTATCAAATTAAAATATTAAGTTAAGAAATAAATTTAGAGTAATGGCGTCTCAAAATCCAACCCATTGACGTATTTATGATTATTTTCCAGAGGGAGAAAGGGGTGCTTACCACTTAGGCATGTTATGTAAACAATAGCAAAACAATAACACAAATGCCAAGAAATAAATTTAAAAATAAAATAAAGACTTTTTAACAACATTTTTTTACAACGTGACTGAATACCTAAATGCTAAGAGAGAATAACTGTTGAGTTTCTAGTGGGCTCTTCTCAACAGATAACAAATTTCCGAACCCTGCATTCATAAAAAAATGACGATTTAAATATGCTTGTAAACAAGTTTATTTGCATAAAGTTGATCCGAATTTGAATATATTAAATATTGATATATTTTCTTTATTTATTTTTAATTGTAATAAGTCTGACAATTCTAATTTTAAAACTTGTAACCATCATTATTGACATGTATTGTAATTAATTTATAACATTATTTTTGTTTTTTTATTTCAAATGTTGTTATTATTGTTATTTATTTTGTAAATAAAAAAAATCATAATGTAAATATTGATTTGCCTTTACGTGACAAAAAATGTTATATCGGTGAATAAAGAAATATGAATATAAATATATACTCTCAGACATATTTTTACGCACAGCTGGAAGCTCTGCGTAAATCATTACCTACCTCAGTGGATATCAGAAAAATCTGGTGGTCTACCATGAAACGAAATTCCGAATTTTCGGGATCCATTTCGTGTTTTTGTTCGTACCAAACTCGACCCAGTAAATGGAGCTTAACATTTCGTTCATCATAAATTTTATCCTAATAGTCCAGAGGAATGATATTTTAACATTTTTAATAATTTTAAACGGCATGTATTATGTAATTTTAACATCAAATTTCTGTTTCGTTCGTGCCCGAAATTTCAAAAAATATTTCATGGTAGGCCCTCTGGAATAGGCGCGGTCTACCCGGACTCATCTTAAATAAGTCTATGCACATCAGAAGAAGACTTTATACAATACTCATTATACATGGATACCTTTCTCCTTTTTGGGTTTCCGTTGCCATTCATCTATCTTTGCTGTGGTGTGAAGGATGGAATGTGGTAGTGAAATTATATTGGACAATAGCTTCGTTATAAATATTAGTCCTCAGAAATGACAACACATGAAGGATGCTATGGGAGTCACAGTATATTCTGTGTTATTCATAGTTCCGCTATATTTTATACCTCGGTTCAGAATGCTTCTGCAACTTTAGTTAAACTCAAATAATGACTCTTTTTGATCTAGTTCCATCATTATCATCACATCAGCCTTTAACAATAGTTATATAAAACTCCCCTTTGGGGGGTTTTTCCAATAGTTGCCACGCTTGGCAAGCGGATTGGCAACCGCAGTTAGGCTTTGGAGATGTTTAAAGAGGGACGCTGCTGCCCATCCCTCGCCCTCCCTTAGTCGCCTCCTACGACACCAACGGGAAAGATAGGGGTGGCCTATTCTATGCCGGGACCACACAGCAAGATCATTAGTTGCAATGGTCATTAGTTTATTTAAAATTAATGAATCTATGAAGCAAACCGGTTTTCTTAATAGATATGAACCTACCTATAAAATTATGAACATATTGTACTATAATTTATATAATTGGCAATAAATAGTTGCGGGGATCACTTCGGTAGTTTTAAATTTATTTACATGTGTGTTTTTTTCATACTTGCTCTATCCGGTAACCGGTTCAGCAAACAGAATTTAAAAAAAGAACTCAAGTGACGGCCTCGAAAACGATGCCGCGAGGATTTTAACGCCTTTAAAAGGGACTGGTTCGTGGTGGCGCAGCACAAGAACTTTTAAAAGAAAAAGAGGATGACCTTTGCCCAACTGTGGGACAACACAAATTAATAACAGATAGAGAGATAGACGATATCTGAAATGTCTTTAGATCTAATATAATAAAAATGATATAATGGAACTCCAAATATGGGATACACTTTTCGAAATTCGCATATATTTTTTTATAACATTGAAATGCCAAACAAGCATACGGCCAGCCTGATGCTAAGCGATTAACGTAGCTTATAAATGTTTGTTATACCAGGGGTATTACAGGAAAATTTTGCCAACCCTGAAGAAATCATGTCCTGAATTTTAACTTGTTTGGATTCTAGTTTCCAATATATATTCTTAGATTAACAAAGTCAACAATTTTATTTTGATTAAAATTTGCATATTTTCTGTCTGTTTGTCGGGACTTTTAAAATTTAAACCAGATTATTATTAATTTTTTTTTGCAAACCAAGACAGAAAGCAGCTTATGTCCTTCTCTCATTTCAAATGGGGTTTGTTACCCCACTTGAAATGAGAGATGTTACACTTTCGTCTATAATATCAATAACAAAAAAATATACTTACAAGATACTCTGTGAGTTTCTTCACCAGTGGTTCCAGATGGACGGTCCGGGCCCAAGCGTCACACACAAAACATAGGTTGAAATAAAATGCATTGCGGGCATACTTCTTGTTATCAATCCGTACTGGGAAACCAAGGATTTTAGAGCCCAGTAGTGTTCTAAAAATAAATATTAGAAACATTATTAAAATATATTAAGGTATTATATCTTAACATCTACATGATTCGGATTGAAATTTTAAAATTGTTTTCCAATTTTGAAATTGTTCTATTCTTACTTACTTTCTAATTCTTAATATATATTAAGTAAGATATTTATGTTTATTACTCTGTGATTGAAAAAATAAATAAACAATATTGATATATTACATAATTTTGCTTGTACTTTTTAAGCAACTATTATAAAAGCAGATGAGACAATTTGTTGATTATAACACAACACTCCATAATAATTATAAATATTATTTTATCTATGGAAATAATAATGATATTCATTCCAAGATATATTAGAGAAATTGTGTAAATATCTCATCTGTGTATCTGGGACATATGATTGACCAGAGTAAGAAGTTGCAAAAGACGTAGGAACCTACCAGGGAATACCTAGTTACTTATTATAATAGAAAAATCATGTGGTATCATCAGAAAAAGAAGTGTTCTCAGATATGAAGGTGAATGAAGCATAGGTGCATGTATATAGGTGTTTGGCTCTCTGTTCTCTCTGTCTACTCTATAAGAGGCTTAGCATAAAGATAGACAAATTAATATCTAAATATGCCAGATTAAAAAATTATACATCATAATATCATCAAAGGAAAAACGATTTAATTTAATTTTATATTAAATGTAGGTAGAAATAATATTCATATTTATTTATAAACAAATATTTAATCTTTGAACTCACACAGTCAATGTGCATCTCTGAAGTTGAATTTTCGGTATGATGTAGTGACTAACAGTATCAAATATGTCCTTGGATATATAGTTTTCCGGTACTTGACAAGTAATTTTAGGGCCAGCGGTTGGGTGAAATTCACACAAAAATATACATCGAATTGGGCCCTCCTGGCCACAGCCCTCGTAATATTTCGAGTTCGCATCCATGGTGAACAAGTTTACTTTCTCTTTCCAATTCGATAATTTATCATAAACATATCCGATTCATTATAATTCGTTTCCAACAAATCACTGTACCGTCAAACCACTGCAACACTTTATCACGATAAAAAAAACATAAACAAGAAATTGTAACAAAATAATAGACCTAACGAAAACACGTCGAGTAGTCAACTGACGTCTGATGATTTAATCAGTTGCAGTTGACAGTTGGTTTCAATGTTTCCAACTCGTATTCGGATTTAAAATGATGCTAATATGAGATTAATCAAAGTCGAAAATAATACTTCTTACTAAATAATATTAAATTTTTTTTGTTCTCTGTTCGGTCTATATTTATAATTTGTGTCAATTTTTACCAATAATTAAAAAAGTATTAAACCAAGTATAAAAAAAGTTTTAGTTTAAAATGTTTGGGTATTTTCTACCAATTTTGATATGTATGATATGTTTTATAAATAAGAAAGATTTTTTCTCTTTATTCTGGCAAATCGTAAATTTCGGTTAAATTTGAGATTTGCCTAGTGAAAGCTGAATTAATAAAAAAGGGGCCAGGGAAGCCTAATGTCAACAAAATTGGTAACACTGCTGGCATTTGAGATTGTAGTGTCACTGACATGTAGTGTCAAACATATGACATAACACTTATATTGTTTATTTCTTTGACCCAATAAATAATTTATAATTAAACAATGGAAAGTAATCCATATAAATTACTAATTGCTGCAACAGGGAGTGTAGCCGCATTAAAAATACCAGTTTTAGTAAAGTCTTTGATAGATTTAAATGATACTGAAAGTGCATGCACTTTTGAGGTTATGTTGATATTTACTTGTATAATTATTATATTATTATTTATTATATAATATATACATATGATATATTATGAATATATATACTTGAATTATCTCTTAATTGTCGTATACTTTCCTAAATATACAACATTTAAGATGAGATGGCATAAAACATATTGCGATTAATTTAAGTAGGTACCTAATGATAATACATATCGTTCGATTTCGATATGAGGAAATAAAGAACATTGCGTATTTTAGAAGATACATGTAGATAACCGTTTTACTACGTATATATAATTTTACTTATTAATAAATTTCGCCGAGTATGATTACAACTTACAATTTTTCTTCTAATATATTTAATTTTAAATTATAGGTCCGTCTTATAGTTACAGAGCATGCAAAACATTTCTTCGATGCATCGGAACTACCACCAAAAGTGATTATGTTTGATGACAACTCTGAATGGCAGGCATGGAATCAAAGAGGAGACCCAGTTGTTCACATTGAGCTAGGAAAGTGGGCAGACTTAATGGTTATTGCGCCTCTAGATGCTAACACATTGGCGAAAATGTCACAGGTACTAATTTTACTTGTCATATGTAAAGTTTAGTAACCAGATACCTATAATACCTTTAGCTGTACATCATTTGTGGTTATTCTCAAAAATTTTCTCATTTTGGGAATTACTATAACCAATTTTTGCTTGTCAGACAAGCAGTATCAAGAATTAAGACTAAGCCGAAACTTTGCCTCCATTTGTGTCTTCTGCTGCTTCTATAACAGATTGTGTGAAAAGATGTCTACAGTCACCTTTATAATTTATCATTGTACCACTCACCTTTAACAAGGAATTCATTGTCACTCATAAATAGTTGCATACAGTGTAGTTTCAGAGCCATCAGATGGGCTGTATACTTGTTTATTTTTGTGGTATAAAAAAAAAATTATAGGTCATACTAAAACAATGACTGTTTCAGGGAATCTGTGATAATTTATTAACCTGTACTACTCGAGCGTGGGACCTGTCAAAACCTTTAATTTTTTGCCCAGCTATGAACACTAGGATGTGGCAACATCCAGTTACTTCTAAACAGATAGCCATGTTGAAAGAATGGGGTCACGAAGAGATACCACCAATAGAGAAAACTTTAATATGTGGCGACACTGGAGTTGGGGCCATGGCTGAAGTTGCCACTATTGTGGAGAGAATAAAAGAACATGCGTATAAAAGAAAATGACAAAAATAAATTCCTTAGCTTTTCTTAAACAAAGTATTGCCTACAATTGATATATAAATTTAATACGGTAAGTCCACCTGTGTACATTGGCATTATAACCAGGTATCTTTATTAAAAGATAATAAATAAAAGCATTTACATAAATAAATTTAGAATCAATTAAATTGCGATAAAATATAGAATAGATTAAAGAATCCTGTACTGTATACTTTATTTGTTAATTAGGAAGTTCTGTCAGTTAGTAAATCCTCAATCATAAGTCTATTGAAGAATGTAATTATTTGTAGATTTGTCATATATGATTAGAGATCTTTATATAATTGTAATAGTATTTCTTATTCTAGACTCACACATTATTTATTTACTATCTGTGTAGATTTTGTTTATTTTCATTGTGTAGGTTTAAGAATGTAACTAAAATGTGATAATAATATTATAATTTACATACAACGATTATAAATTTGTAAATTAAAAGACATCATAAATGTATATTGTTTATTGCATCACTGAATACTGTTTCTAACACTAGCGTACATGCAATATGAACAAAACTATTAAAATCAATTAAAAACTCTCATATTGTATACATCACATACAAATAACTATACAAAAAACATTACTATAAACTTCTACCAAACTTAAAGGCATCTTCCCAAATACAGAACAATGTTCATATTTCACACAATGTTCAAAGGCAAAGGACATTATGTTATCTTTATGGAGATTCCTGTTAGTGGGAATTACATTTTAAGTTGTTTACCTATTCTGAAGTACTAAAGATACTCTGATAAAAAATAATGGGTTTAAATTTTTAACTCATGTCATCATACCTATTTAAGAGAAGTATTACTAAAATTAGATAATTTTAGACTTAATAATCTAATTTTAGAGATTCTTTTCAGATGTGAGATATACAAAATGATATTATATAGTACAATGAATTTGATTTTTAATTAAGATTCTAAAGTCTAATTTTTAATTTAAAGAGTGACAGATCAAAAATTGTAATTGGCAATTAATTTGTTCTGTATTTGTTAAGTAACTTTTAACCCTTAAAACAATATTTCAAAAACTGTAATCACTGATATTAAAAATATCTACAGGATGATTATTCATTTGTTTCATTCCATTATACTTTGCGCGAGCGTATTTGAGACAAAGTAACCCTGTATATCAAAAACAAATATTTTATTATAAACTAATCGTGACTTAGTAATATATTTAAAATAATAAAATAAAACAAATTTATCCACCAGTGAACAAGCAAAATATGACGAGTTGTGCGTAAAAGCACCGTTATATAATTAAATATGCCCACACAGTTATATCAACATGATACACTTTTACGTACTGAAACTAAATCTATGTCTATTCTCTAAAATGTTCTAATTTTAGAGACACATTTAGATTTTAGAGCAGCCTTTCCCAAAGTGAACGATAACGCCCCTTTGTAGGCGCTGCAAGTCTAAATGGGGCCGGGAAGATACCCAGAAAAAAAATGGGGGCATTGTGTAGAGGCTTAGGGGGTGATTTGTTGATCTTGAAGTAACAGTGGTTTTTAAGTAGGTGAAAAAATGGGGGTGCTAAAAAATAATTTATTCTCAAAGTGGGCAGTAGACAAAATAAGTTTGGGAACCCTTTTAGAGTGTCGTGGTCACACATGGTACCCAACCGATGATGCAAACGAACTTTGCAAAGATGTGTGCATATTGCGCTTTCTTTAAGAGGTCGAGCCTCCAAAATAATTTTAAATAAGTTGTAGTCTATACAAATAATGTCGCAAATGAGAGAAGATAAGGGAAAATGGAGTCACCATTTTAAAATCTAGATCACTAGGATCAATAACTGGCTGGAAGAGATATAGGGCTGGATGTGTGGTATCCACTGATGGGACGTCAAATAAAAAAAACTACCACCAGGTAAACCCTATGCATTTTTCCATTTTATTTTACCTAAAAGGATGAATATTTTTAAATGCCTTTTAATAAATATAATATGCACATGCAATTAAAAATGGATATTTATTTACAAGAAATATGGTACGGTAGGAATGTATCGTGTTGACATGAATCGTGTGAGACGAGTTTACAAGTGTATTTACGAATTAAATATATTAAATTACATCTCAATCCAATTATATTACGTATTTATTTTAATACATCTGCAACAATGTCGGTTTCGTAACTAAACAGATATTTAAAACAATATATATATACCGTGGATCTGCCGACTCAAGCAACTTGAGGGGATAATATAAAAATACTATATTTACAAATATAAATTGATATTTATTACGAGACTGGCATTGTTAGAGACGCGTTGGAAAAAAATTAAAATATTTACAAATAAAATAATTAATAGAGATTCGAAAAATGTTGAATGATTTCCTTATGAGAATTATTCTAACAACTCGAATGAATAATTGATTCAAGATAAGAAGTGAGAATTAAACTTATCTATAGTGGAATCGTACTCTATACAAATTAAAAACTATTTATACTGTCATGTTACGAGGACGTCGCGTAAACAATCGCGAAATTGTAAAAAATGCAAATCTAGAGAGAACCATTTTGAACTATCACAAATATTGGTAAATATAAAATGCTAAAAAATGTATAAATGCAATATAATTCATATATTAAACGTTTACATGAAAACCCACTATACTTGGGTTCATATAATTATTGTGTATAATGTTCATCATATTATATTAAGGACACTGTTTAATTTAATAACTATATTACTACATGTAAAAAAATTACGTTGGATTTTTGAAAACATTGTGTAGAAAACTGTGCGTTCTCAAAGGCCGTATCTAGCGGTACTATAACGCCTATAGCCCGATCGCTCTATCTCCCTCTACTATTCAATGTAAGAGAGAGACCATTCTAAAACTAATAAGCTATGGGCCCACGAAAAACCTTTAAAAGCTAAGCTTTTGTATAGAAATAAAGATATTTGTAAATTGTTAGTAGCAAAATACTGCAGCGTTGCGTGGAATGAATTTGTAGGCGTATCGAATGTTGTTTTTGCGTATATTGCCCTCTATTGCGGCCGATTAAAGCTCGTTTTCCTATGGCAAGAGATTAAGTTAATAATTAATTCACACAGTACCCAGTCACTCTTAGCGACATTGTGTGAACTTAAAATTTTGTCTTTTACAATTAAATAAAGTAATTACATTCGGCAGCGTAGAGTTGTGAGTAACAAGTGCAATATACGACGGGAACAACAACAAAATTATAGGCACATCTCTCACACAACGGTCTCGTTCTGTTTCTCGAACATGGCGCGCGTATACTTGGAGATCACATCGTACGTGGACTTGATGAGTTCGCAGCGCTCCTCCACCTCGCACTCGGACGGCGCCACCCTGTACGACGACTTGTGTCTCGCGGTCCCGTGGTGCGGCTCCGCGGGACCAAACTCTGGGGCGTTGTCCTCAATATTGTATATAGCTATCGATTGTTTCTTGTGCACCATATCTAAGTCTTTGCGTCTCTTCTTCTTATCGACATCGTTGATGTATGTGGCGCACCTCGCGTTGATCGAGTTGACGGCGTTCTGTACGGTCGAGTGGTCCAGTGCTTGACTGGATTCCTGTTCGTATCATACGTCCAGCTCTTCGAGCCCTTTGGACAGTCGGTGCGAATTGATGCGGCGGCGGTGCGAGCGGCGGACGGCGTCAGCGCGCCGGTACGGCTCGGACCGCAGCCCGTGCAGGATGTCCTCCAGCGCCCCGTTGTACACCTCGTCCTGGTGGAGAAGCTTCTTCTCGCCGACGGCCTGAGATTTCGTTTTTAGTTCGTTGATTACAGCCTCCTGGAATGTTGATGGGGTATTTATAATTGCGAGTATATATATAAAGGTTTACATATATGTATAAATAAACGCTAGAAAATTTTATTATTAAGCGCGACAGGTCGGCTTGGTACTTGTAAAAGGGTGGAGTCTTGAGGATACAGTCATCGATTACTTTCGATTCGATTATAGTATTCGATTGTCAACTCGACCTGTCGCGAACTATTGTGTTATTAACTAAGTAGTACAATATATAATAACACTTTATAAAACATGCAATATATTATTATATAGCTTTAAGAGAAATTTATTAGATTTTTATAGATACAACAAACAGAAGCGTTTAAGCTATTGAATATAGATACATCCAACTCACATTTTACGTCATTTTAAATGGGTCATATACTTGGCAACTAAAATATCGGAAAAGGCGGTTAACTATGAGCATTAGGTTAGATTAACTTGAAGTTTTGAAGGCAAAGGAATTAAAATTTTTATGTTTTCATTGTCACTTTAAATATATAAAAGTATATATTAAAAAATACTAATATAAAAATAATATATTCAGTTCATTTAGCCAATTAAAATTTTATTACATAACTCTAAGCCGAAATTTAAATAATATTATTTCATACTAAGGCTAATCTAATTACAATATCTATGTAAATATTTCTAATATATTTTAAAAATAAAAGAGTTTTATTTTAATATAACGTTATATAAGAAATAACACAAAACATTAACCTTCATATAAAAATGCTGGCCAGTAATCGTTGACACTGCATAGAGTCCATTTAAAAATTAAAATTTTAAATATCGATTTAATAAATTAGCCAGCGATTTGCTGCATTTTTATAACTAATAAGGTTAATTATTTGAAGCACTAGTAGCATCTTATCAAACCGTGCTTACAGAGTTTGAGCCAAGCGATAAAACTGCGTTAAATAATTAAACACATTCCCTGTAATCCATGCAAGTGCAGCGTTGGAAGAAATATATACGTTTATTATAATATGTATACATATAATTACGTACATACTTGTATTAGTTATCTAAATAAAACTAAAGACGTATCAATAATACTTTTTATAACACCATATTTTCTTAATTATTATATATCCGTTAACGTCCTGATTTTGATAAAAAAAAAACCATGGATTTTATACTAAAATATGGGGCATTTGTGTCCAAGAAAGGCAAGTACTGTGACAAATTACATAAAGAATTACCTAAATCTTTTGATTACCGAAATCTAATCACCTATTGCACACAAAATCACATGCTTTCATAATTTTAATTAACTTAAGAGGGTCTCTATTCAGGCGCGGATCCAACTAAAAAAAAGTTTGTAGGCACATCCATCCAAAAATCAATCAAGTGCGAGTCGGATTATAAATTTACTTGTGATCGATATACTGCACTCCTACAAAGATGTTTATAAAATACATATATGGTGCCCTGACCATGATTTTGTATAGTGTACAGTAGGGTAAAGTCGGGGGGCAAATACTGATCAATTAATAAACCTGTAAAATGTTACTCCTTAATACATAAAAACGTCAAATCTCACAAACCTATTTTAGGTATTGAACTGTTTATCTATTTCTTTTCTACTAAACTCCCAATTTGAAAGGAAGTGTCAAAACAATGTGTATACAGGGTGTAAGGAAAAGTTGGCAAAAATTTAAACAGTGAATTCAGACCATTATTCTCAACTTAAAACCAGTGAAAGTTCTTTCCGAAACATTTCAAAATTTTCTCGTGTTTCTTTCATTTAAAATCATGTAATCTATGATATTATGTCATAATATAAAGAATTTATATAATTTATAGTGAATAACTATAAAATAAAAAAAAAAAACAGCAATGTATTATTCATATTAAGATTTTACCGCGACGCGCGGAATCAACTATATCGTCATAGTCGTAGAATACTGGCGGATCTGACAAATATTACATATATAGATCCGTCAGTATTCTATGACTATGACGATATGAGATCAACGCCACGAGCGTACAAAAATACCTTCGAAAAAGCGCGCGTTGTAGATACCACGCGGCATGTGGATTGTAAAATTTCATATACATTGCGCGGCGTCAATTGTAAGAATATTTAATTATATGGTTATAGAACATTTCCGATGGGAAAACATTCTGCCGTCTAATTTACCACTCATCTAAATCAGCTGTTTTCGTTTTGGCCAATCTGTTCCTCCCACCTCGTATATAATAGCAAAAGCAGATTTGTAAAAGATTTGCCTATGTTTACACAATCTAAGCTATTAAGGTTTGCAACACGCTCGTTACGGAGGGGAAAGGGATTGTTAGTAATGGAGACTGAGAATCCCATTGCTAGCAAAATACCCAACCAGGTCGACCTCCTCGCGGTTCTCCCTGGAAACTATCATGGTTAATTCCTGATGAATTCATCATGATGGGCTAACTGGCCTGTTTTCATTCTCATCTATCACTCTTCACTGGTGATACGCCAGCGTATCCCATTAGCACAGACGGGGTTACCATATCATTTTCACCCATCAAAAAAAAAAACACCGCTACGCCACCAAAAAGGAAGGCTCCAGAAGACTATTAGGGTTGTGCGCATCGATTGGCATGCCCACAACGGTGGATCCGCGCTTGAGTCTACGTATAAACGTTCGCGCAAAAAATAAACTGCAATAGATTACGGGTCGTATCATATACCGTTATTTTCAAATAATCCAATCAATATATAGGTAGGATGCCTGTGAATCGTGTAGCATGCCTGAAACGCGTGTTGTTATTTAGCTTTGGGTATTAACATGAACGGCTCAACTCCCCCCTATTCCACTAACCCCACAACATGCGTTACTACTGGGTAACGTGTTCAATTAGTCACATTGACTCGAATCGTTATTTAATTAGTGTCTATATGGCGCTCCATATTTGTGGCAACTGGTGATACACATGACTATAAAATAGGCGTGGGTAATATGGATATGAATCCGATATATATATATATATATATATATATATATATATATATATATATATATATATATATATATATTGGGTTCCTCACGACATTGATGGCAGAAAAAAGGTCATCACCTATTTCGATATCGCCTATATCGGTCGGATATCTATTATCAAATATGTCAAAAGTCTGTCATAGATATTGTAACTAAGATATATAGATATTGCTATATATTACTTACTCCTACTATGAAATGCATATGAAAAATTTTATGTCATTTTAATGTAAACGTGGGTGACAAACGAAACCAGGAGTATTGAAATATATATTAATAGAAGATAACTTGGGTAAGAAGGGCTATGAAGGGAAGCTGAAAAGGAACAATAATATTTAAGGTTGTGTTGCAAAAAAAATCTACTTTATTGCGGCAAAACAATCTATATTTTGATTTAAAAACTTAACTGCTAAATCGATTTTGATAAAATTTCTATAAGGTTAATCTGTCAGAATAACCTTTCAAAAAAAATATTCAAATCGGTTTACAAAGAATGAGTTATGAAATAACCCAAAAAATATGTAACAAAATACAACTGAATTGAGAACCTCATTTTTTTGAAGTCGGTTGAAAAGATGTGCCACTTTTAAATTTGATATAAAACAACATAAAAACTTTAAAGAACTTGACGATGTATTGACGGTCAATAAAATAAAATAAAAAAAAACATGAAAATCATAAGCGTATTTGAGGTGATGGGATGGGGGTGAGTGCCGACCCCAGTACTGTCAGGTGACCACACAAGGATACGAGGAGACCTCTGACAATAGACAATACATAATATGCGCCTCTTTAAAGGCCCTTTCTAAAAGAAAATAGTCTTACATAGGGCAATAATGAAAACAAAAATCAACTTTAGTACTTAGAGTGTTTTGTAATTTCAAATTAGGAATTCACCTCAAAAAAAAAAAGGCAAAAAAATACTATTACTACAATACATATAAGAGCATACTTATCAAAGCTTACTGAAGTTTCGACTTTCATAAACAATTCAAAAGATTCGTTATTTTTTTATCTTTTTCGCTTTATCGATTAATTTAAAAAATGCTTCGATAATGCACTAACATATTAATTGTAAAATAAATTGTCCATAAATCTAACACTAATAATTTTGCGCTTACTTTATATTTTTCTTCGGAAGTTTACAAGATGCGACGAAATCATTTTAGAATTGATCCCACAATATTTTCTTATATACACACATCCACATACATAAATTTACATGTATATTACGTATGACTTTTCAATCGATTTTCATTAATTAAAATAAAGACATAAACACAAACAAACAAAATAGACAATTTCGTATTTGTAAAATTATGTTAAAGATATGGAACGCCATTTGTTATAAACACTAATTAAATATTACTTGTACCTAAAGTATCAAGATCACATTATTAGAATTATAAAAATCCAAATAGGTACGCTTTAATTTTTCTTACAAGTCCGTATCGAGTCACCCGTTCACATATCACCATGTTAGTACAACACACGCACACATCGTATGCCCCTTTTGTAAATGGACGACTTACTCCTAGTCGTGTTAGGCCGAGACCTAGTATCGGTCTAGACCGGCTCTTAACTGTGCCTCAATTGAGACAAGTGTTGCTGCAATAGGCCAGCGCTGACGGCCGCGTAGTTAAACCTCTGTGAGAAATTTTACGGCGTTACCATCACCTCTACTAGTTATTTTGTGTTATGAATATGGCAACACAGATTAATACATAACGAATAATTGCGAAGCAAATAAAAAAAAAAATTACAAGCTCGTTCGAGTTCCAATTTTAAATGTAAATCCCATTCAAATTGTATTTGCAATTAAAAACATTCTTCTTTTTTTAATTTTGTTACTAAGGAAATAAGTTAAGCTCAATGGTAGTTTATTTTTGTAGTACAATCAATAGTTGCCATATTCATACCATAACAAAATACCATCACCATATTATGCCAAAGTATTTATAAAATGATGAAATATGAGTATATTGATTTTTTGAGAATAGAATACAATATATGTATAGTAAAAAAAAAATATTTCACTCGACTTGTCATACGAAAGCAAACCAATCAGTGATCACTGCAAAGTAACGGTTTGTGAGTGAAATATAAAGATTGAAAATCTATTGATTTGAGTTCATCGCCCTAATTTTAACAATAATTTACAAGTTAATATAAATTTAATACGTAAAAATAAATTGTGTGATAGAGTTGCTACAACAGTTCCTTATAATCAACATTATAAAAAAATGTTAATATTTATAGTATTGCCATTATAAATAAAAATAAAACTGGCCAAGTTTTATAAAAAAGCTTTAAGTAGTTCTTGGTGATATAATACTTTTAATAAATACCTATTAATCAATGAATAAGGATGTATTTATTAAATTAAGTATTCCAACATATTTAGTTAACAAAAGGGCGATGAAATTCAATAGAGATATAAAAAAATCATTAGTAGAAATTGTAAGTACACAATTCAATCTTCAAGTCTCGAGCGACTGGCTACAGAAAATAATGCAACAAAACTACTAAAACTGTACTCCATTCACCATCGAAGCGTTATACACAGAGCGGACGGCTAAAATATTTTTTTGACAATGCAACACCGATTTTAATATTTTTACATAATAAAAAAAAATTAACAATAATTATTTTATTATGATTTGATATATTTTTTTTTAACTTGATAAGGCGAAACTAAATAGTAATTATATTTAATTTTCTATCAAAAAAATTATACATTATTTTTTATAATACTCTTCGTATTGCAAAGAACCTAACGGCCCACCTGATGTAAAGTGGCAACCTTCGCTTTAGATATGAACCGCATTGAATACAGTCTGATACCCATGGTACACTCATGTGTATCCCTTCTGAGGACCATGGTGTCATGTTTCTGTACCCTATAACTTCATTGCATACATTGAAGCTGATACTGAGGTTCCATTCCTCTAAACTTATCTCTTAACCTAATATTTTAATTTAATAGTTTCGTGAAATTACTGTTTTATGGACCATCATAAAGTAAATATATAATAATATTGATTTAAATCTATTAGAAAGGGGGGAAAGGGATTGTTAGTGATGGAGACTAAAATCCCATTGCTAGTAATATACCCAATCAGGTCGACCTACTCGCGGTTCTCCATGGAAACTATCATGGTTAATTCCCGATGAATTCATCATGATGGGCTAACTGGCCTGTTTTCATTATCATCGATCACTCTTCACTGGTGCTCCGCCAGCGTATCTCGTTAGCGTAGGCGGGGCTGCCATTCCATTTTCACCCATCAAAAAAAAATCTATTAGAAAATAGATTTGACTAGTTCATTATTTTAGAGATATATTTAGAGAAATGACGCCTCAAAATCGACTCTATTATGTCAGATGTAACTTATTACTGCAAATATCGATTGGTAATTCTAAATAAATTCAGTTTCGCCTTCACAAGAGTAAATCAGACAAGTTAGTAACAAGTCATCCGACTTCGGTCCTTATGTTAACGTGTTAGGGTGCACAATAGCAGTACCTGTTGTTTCTTCTGCATGAGCTTGGTCTTGTTGGGGTCGACAGCGTCTGCCTGCTGCGCCGCTTGCTCGAGCCGCCGGCGTTGCTCGTTCTCCGCGTCCGCTTGCTAATGGCACACAAATGCACATTTATATTTAAAGTAATTCTTCATTATATTATGTATTTGTGTAGGCGTTTATATGCATGTATGTATATGTGTTAGTATGTGTATATATATATATATATATATATATATATATATATATATATTAATTTATTATCAATAAAAATACAAGTTACAGAATTTATGTTACATTAGCATTCAGAAACCACGTAGGTTTATATTAATACTAAATACATTAAAATTATTTTAATTTGTGTTAATATCATGCAAGAAGTATCGTTTTAATTTATACTTGATGTTGCTAATAGTAATGTTATCTCGTACATCGGTGGGTAGTTCATTAATAAATCGAGGAACCAGGTAGTCAGCCGTACGCTCGCCATAACAGTTATTTACGCGAGCGCTATTGGTACAAAGTTGCTTCCGTGCGACCGCCCTCGTATATACAGCATGATTAATTTCGTTCCAATATTTTTTGTTAAAAAAGTTTTCCTTAAGAAATGTGTATTTAAATTGTAGATGTACTGGTAAAATATTGCAATGTCGAAAAAGACCAGTATCATCGTCATAATACTGCATCTTAATTTTGGGAGATACAATAGATCTTAAAATTCTACGTTGAAGTTTAAAAATATCATTTAAATATGTTTTATAAGTGCGGCCATAACTTGACAACCCATATTGAACATAAGATTCGACCAATGAATTATACAGTATCAATTTTACCTTAAAGGGAATTCGGTGTCTAAGGATGACTATATTAGCTAAAAATTGTCTTAATTTGTTACAAATTTTTTCGATGTGTTTACTCCAATTAAACTTACTATCTATAGTTAAGCCAAGATATGTTTGGCTGTCCTTGACCGTTATAGCGGGGCAGCTGCAAAAGTTCCTTTCATTAGTTATATGTAGACACTTGTGGTTGTGAGCAATGATAGGTTTATATAGAGGACGAAATTTTAAATAGGGTGATTTTATGATCAAAAGTTGTGTTTTAATTGGATTTAATACCAATCCGGCATCATGACACCATTCAAGAAGGACATTGACGTCAGATTGTAGAAGGTCTCGTGCTTTTTGAATATTTTTGTCAGACAACACTAGACACGTATCATCTGCGAATTGGTAACATGAACTGTGTTTCAAGATATTATGCATATTATTAACATAAGACAAAAAATGTAGCGGACCTAATACAGATCCTTGTGCCGTGCCTTCAGTTACTGGTACATGATCACTGTATACATCATCTATTTTAACGGTGAATTTACGATTTTGTAAATAGTTCTTGCACCAATTGAGTAAAGGCCCACGTACACCAGACTCATCAAGTTTAGTAATTATTTGTGCATGTTTTAGGGTATCAAAAGCACGGGAAAAGTCTATGAATAAAGCCAACACATATTGTTTTTTATTGAGATGTTCATTAATCTCATCTGTAAATTTAGATAAGAGCTGACTATTACTTTTATCCGATTGAAAACCAAATTGATTTTGGTAAATTACATCTTGCTTACGATAAAATTTATGAATTTGTTCGCAAACATATTTTTCAACTATTTTGTCTATTGTAGAAAGTAAGGTAATGGGACGATAGTCTAAATAATTATTTCGTAACCCTTTCTTAAATACCGGTCTAACACAACCAATCTTTAGTTCATCGGGATATACGCCAGTTTTAACACTAGAATTTATGAGGTTAGCAATAGCTACCAATACCGCCTTACTACCTGACCGCCTGAGACCTGGAGCTTTTCTATAGTCTAATTTATCGATAATTTTATTTATTTTTTCACTTGAAGCTTTTTGATAATAAATGCTGCAGTTAGTTTGTTTACTATAGCTTCCTGGATCTAAAAGTCTGACAGTACATTTCGGAGTAATATTCTTCACTGCATTATCAAAGTTAGTGGCAAAATTGATGGCGATATCTTTATTACTTAATCCTTGTGCATCGAATGCTCTAAGTATTTTAATTATACTAATTTCGTAAACTTTTTTTGTGTTTTTAAAGTTATTCTGTATTTGTTGAATATAAAAGGAATTTCTTTTTATTTCAATTATTTTATGTGATTTATTACGAGTTTTATTATATTCTAATCTTATCTTAGGATCATTTAAGCTATTTTTCCAAGATCTAAACAATTTATCACGCTTTTGGCACAATTTTGTTACATTTTTGTCTATCCAAGGTAGTTTTAATCGTTTATTATTTTCTTGCCGAGCAGCTTTCATAGAAGTTGCTACTTTATTAGCATTATTAAAAGAGCTATTAATGAATTTAAAGATTTTGTTAGGGCAGTACATATTTGAAGTTAGGAACCAGTTAACTTTTTTTAGTTCCTCGCAAAGAATATCATAATTTATAATTGGTTTAATTACACGCTGTATATACTTAGGTTGGTTATAGTCGATGCACGCGAATACAATAGCGCGGTGATCGGCTAGTACGACATCTAGCACCGCAGAATACGGGTGCATGGTTGGAAACCGCGCAAAAATATGATCAATACATAATTTGATCATAACATTCATTCTTGTTTCGATTCTACTATAATCAGTTATTCCACACATTAAACCATGTTTACTAAGTGAGTCTAAATATATATCTCTAAATGGTAAATAAAGATTTTGTTTCGAATCAAACGACGTTAAGTGACTATCTAGTTCCTTCACAAAAATGTTTTTATTTGTAGATGGTGGCCTATAGACAGCACACACAACTACGTCACGTATACAATCTATTTTTATAATACCTGACAAGCATTCAAATGTTTTTGTTTTGTGTTGTAATGCTGTAAACTTAATATAATTTTTGACATACAATATAATACCTCCTCCTCGTTTATTTATGCGTAAATTTGAATACATATTATAGCCAGGTATATTATATAAATGACAAATATTTTCTGAGATACCAGCCTCGGTAATGGCAATAATATCCAGGGGAAATCGACTATTGTGAATTACTTGTAGCAATTTAGAAAAATTTCTAGTCATACTTCGTATATTTATGTGTATACTAGATATTTTTAATGAATTTTGACAAGGTATTTGTAGGAAGAAATCATTAATGGAGTTACAATTATATATTTCATTAATTTGTGTATCCATCTTTTTTCTTTAGTACTATTCACAATAAATATGTATTTATATTATTTTTGTATGTAAAATACGTATGTGGATTTAAATAATAATAATAACAATAAGAAGAAACAATGGAAACTTTTAGAACGAGTGGGTAGGCAGGTAAATATATAGTTTTATTAAACCTGAGATAGTTGATTGATGTCCTGTGATGAGCGAATATATTTTACTGTTGCTGTTTTTTCTTGCGCACACATTATCATCCTTACACCATATGAATTGAAATGACTTGCTAAGTTGTATTTTAGAGTTGTATAGAATACTCTTGACATGTTTTGTTAAAGCTTCTCTGATATAAATACGGTTTTCTGCTTTATCCTTGACCACATCTGGTATGACCTGTCCAACAGTAAGTCTCTTCTTCTTGCTAGCTTCTATCCAATGTTTACATACAGATTTTGTCTTCATTTCCATACGAATTACACAAGGTTTGTCCTTAGAACTAGGTAAACATTGCGTTGATTGAATGTCATTCTCATCCAATTCCAATTTTACAACTACCCTGCTCAATACGTCCTTCAAGTCCCCTTGGGGAATATCTGGTATTCCTGCTATTTCCAAAGTTGTTGACAAGGATTTTTGTTCAAATGTATTGATTCCTTGTTCAAGAACTGCCACTCTCAGCTCCAAGTTTTTGTTTTTGTTTAATAAATCCTCATTTTTGTGTTCAAGATTTCTTATGATATTATCCTGCTTTTTTATTGACTGCTCCATAGACCTCATTTGGTCACTCAAAAACTCGAGGGACGATTGGAGGTTACTTACCTCTTCTCGAAGGCTTTTTTTTAGCTCTTTACTGATGTCCTGTACGAGTTTTCGTGTATCGATGGTGTGGGATGCAGTCGGGAAACCAAGCATAGACTCATCATCGTCCCCATCATCATCGGGTATCAAATATGATGACCTTCGAGATGCGTTTTTTAAACAATCCTCACAGCTCCATTCGATGCCAGTAGTATTTCGTAGCGTATTCAATTGTTTATTAGATAATTTAGCACACGCTGGATCAGCATGTACTACTTTATCACACCTGCTACACTCCAATCCAGGCATTTTTTTAGTAATATTCTTCTTGCACACATCACATTTCTTCAACACCATATTGAGGGTAGATATTAAAATATATTATCGGCAACGGTACACAACCTTTCACTTCAATGTCACAACGATGATTCAATATATATATATATATATATATATATATATATATATATATATATATATATATATATATATATATATATATATATATATATATATATATATAATGAGTAGGGATAATATTTATATTATTATATGTATCACATCTCCCATATTTAGAACTAACAAAATTTTTCATCGTGCTTCCCACCAAATTGTTTATCCTCTCCATCCAAAGGTTGCCTGGAAAAGATCGCTCTTAGCGATAAGGTCGCCCATTGTTTTCTCATTGTGATTATTTCTTGTAATTGTTTGTATTTATAATAAGTTTAGTATTGTAATCTTTTGGAGGAAACAATAAAGAGTATCTATTTATCTATCTATACATATATCCTTCCAAACTTTTGTGTTTATAATAGTAGTAAGTTAAGGTTTTGAGTTTCCCTTCTCAGGAACCTACAATTATAAAAAAATATTTTACTGGGGAAGAATTGATTTGAAATGATGTGTCGTATTAAGTTACGTGGTTTTTTTAAATGGATGATAATAGAATGGTAACCTCTCCTGCGCTAACGGTATACGCTAGCGGAACACCAGAGAGGGATGATAGATGTGGAAAAAAAGCACGTTAGTTGGCCCATCGTGACGAACTCAAGAATCAATCTCGATAGTTTCTAGGGGGAACAGCGTGGGCAGCAATGGGGCTGCTATACCCTATTACTAATAATCCGTTTCCTCCTTGCAACGTGGTGTTGCAGTGGGATAAGAGTCGCTAAGTAAATCTAAATATGTCAGATTTATTAATTCATTTTACCTTGAACGCCCTCGTGAACCGGACGAGAAGCGAGAAGAAAGCATTAGCGTCGCATCCGCGCGGCGCCTCACCGAAGTACTCTACGCAGGAAGAGAAGGAATCCTGGAACGGATAATACATTTATAAATACTAAAAGCAGACATTTGATAGTTTTAAATATTTTACTAAACTAGATCTTGTTTTGCGGAAGTCATTACCACTAATTATTTTACACTTTATTATTAGTACGCTTGCGACTGCCAACACTACTATTAATATATAATAATTGATTACTATTATTATTACGAGATCTAAAACTTTCCATATTAGTTATCAATCTCCGATTGCTATTCAGTCCACGCACAATGTGCCTCGGCTTCGCCTCGGCCCACATTTGCACGTTAGTCTATCAATGCCTCAGTTGCTGGCCGCTGCAGTAATGTACTATTTCTCAAACATGCTTGGAAATGTGAGCATTATTTTGACAATCTTCTTCGAGATAAATCAAAATTGCCGTACTGATCAGATACATGCGGGCAGCGGCCGGCAAAAGTTGTATGAAAATCCATATCTGTCGTGTTTTGCGGCCAGATAAATTACTATATAAACTCATATCTGTCCTGTAATTTAAAAATGGAATGACCTTTTATTTCGAAACATGGATAACAAGGAGGTAACTAATAAAAACTTTTATTTAAATTTCGAACTGGCTTGCAAATAGAAAGCTGTTTATTGAAAATAAAAATAAAAATAAAGGAACACTATGGCGCGTGAAAAATTATTACTGTTCGTTATTCGTCATTGAACTTAAAAAGTAAAATTGTGTTTTTTATTTCCGCGCATTGTTTGAGAAAAGTACTATACTAGCCTTGGCCACAACTAGGCATCGACGGAGTCACGTATGTGTGCCTCGGCTAGGCCTCGGCCCACACTTGCACGTTCGTCCATCAATGCCTCAGTTGCTGGCCGCTGCAGTAATGTACTATTTACGCGGCGGGCGGTACCTGCGCGTGCTTGGTCTCGGCGCGCAGGCGGCGCAGCTTGTCGTGCGCGTTGGCCACGAAGTCGCGCAGCAGGTGCGCGTGCGCCTGGTGCGCCGCGCGCTGCTCGCTCTCGCGCCGACACGCCTCCATGCCGCGCTCCAGCTCGCACACGTCCGCCACCACGTTCTCCAGCGACACTGCCCACCACGGGGAACGTTTTAATCCGTGCGACACTTCATGTGCAACTGCGATTCGTTGCCAAGTACGCGTATGAGTCTACTGGGAACGGCTTCTCCAGAACCAGGGGACTACAGATATCTTAAACCGCGGGATATCGTTGAGGTGACACACAGGATCTATCAAATGATGGTATAAGGCAGGGGGAAGCACAAAAGATCCCGATGGGTCAATGTGCAACGGCTTAACTGACCCCACTTCCTTGCCCGATCTTCGAACTTTACCGACACAACTTCACACTAATATTGGTGTTTGTTTGAAAAGTTATTTTTCATTCACTTAAGTATAACTTCAAAAAGTAGTAAATAAAAAAGTATAATCTAAATAAGCCGCCGAAACATAACTTTTGAGCAATATGGCGTCAATGACGTCACTTGGAAGTAACTAATAATCGAGTAACATACACGAGCATGATCAGTACTTATATTTGTTAATTTTTACTGTTTCCCAAGAAAGAAAAAGTACATAATATGTGTTGTTCCAGCATGTATATAAATACTAGTATAAAGACACCGAAAAATCTATTTGTTAGTGTACCGAAAAAGCCCATAATACGCAAAAAGTGGTCGCTACTTGCTTATAGAAGTCATGATGCTATAGTAAATGAATGGTTCAACTGTTTTCTTTTGTGAAAATCTTTTTGATGTAAGCACATAAACATATTCATTTAAATTTACCCCTATTTGATTTTAAAGTTAATATTTCGATTTTCTAAAGATCTTTGTTATCTATTTGAGGTTGAGAATTCAATGTGGTATTTTTAATGTCCTACCCTTTCCGTGATTTAACAGTCCAATAATAAAATTAGTAGTTATTCTAATAACGGAATTATTCGGATTTGCGCACCGCTACCAAAACCGCAACGAACATCAATGACCGACATGTTATTTACTTCCATGTTACGTCATCATACATTCCAGGTGGTTTTCGATCACGTGATACCAGATAAAAACATAAATTTTTTGGGCGTTTTATGCATGTTTATTAATATATTTTTAGTCAGATTAATGCATACCTCTTTTAAAACCCCTAGACTATGTATTTTTAATATCATTTAGCCTAATGCCAATAAACCAATTCTTACCGCTGTATATTCCGTGTAAGGGTATCTAGAGCAGTATCAGGAAGGAATGTAAGAATTCTTATGCGTGTTCAACATTATTAGCGTAAACACCTAAAATTTCCAATCATTTAAATACGATGTACCGTAATATATAACCAAAAAAAAAATTACCTTGCGCCGCTTTGTCTATGTACAACAACTCTGTATCGAAGTTCATCAGCTCGGGGAAGTTCTGTCTGATCGTGGCCACTATGTAATGTAGTAAAGATATCCTTTTGTCAGTCGACTTTGTGTCCATCAGTGTATCTAACGACTGCAGCTTGAACCCGTACGCCGGTCCACGTTTACTGCTATTTAAGTAGTTACCGAACGCGAGAATGATTTCCAGAACATTCCGCAGCTTCTGTGAGGACTTCACTGATGATGAACCGGATATTATCGCGTGGATTTGAGGGGTTATCAAGTGGATATTGTCGAAGAAGTTGCCCATGTAGTTCATTATGGACAATTTAGCTGATATCCTTTCGACTTTAGCTAACTGCATGAGGAATTTGTCTTCCTCGGTCAACTGATTGATATTTTTCTTCTCGGCGACGTATTCTTTATACGCTTTTTGTTCGGCCTCTGTCGGTACCATGCGCTGAAGGATCTCGACGCTCTCTAGTGGTAACTGTTTTAAATCGAGATTATTGATAGCAGCTATTACTTTCTCCACTGGTGTGTCCAGTTTTCTTCTTGATATTGCTGTAAAAAATAACAATATTATTTATATATGTTTTAATAATTGCTTAATTAAGGAGATGACAACAGATTAAAATAATCTTCTTTTTTTCTTCAACGGCAATCGGTCACTATTTTTACGACCATTTTTGCCAGCGTCAGGTATAAGAAGCTTGTAAAGTAATCAAATCCTTGGTAAGTAGGGTTTTTGTTTTCTATATAGTTATAGAGTACACACACGTTAATGATTACCGCAGATTCGTATTTGTATTTCGTATTTTATTTTATTCACTACGTTATTTAAGAGTCGACACTACTTTTATTTGGACAAAACTGTAAAGTTAAGTCGGAAAGTTTGACAAAAATGGAAATGCATTTATTACAGAAAAACAATGCAAAAACAAATGAATCTGCATTGCGTCTACACAGAGTAGAAAAGCAATTACGCGCCAAATTTAAAAACCGGTGCAGAGAAATAAAAAAAATTATTATAATTTCGAATTCTCTTTGATTCCAAGTAGTTTGGATTGAATTCAAAATTTAAATAAAAAAGCATAGTTCCAAATTCAAACCTATATTCCTAAGACGCGTGTGTTCGAGCAGTGAAACAGTGTCGGGCTTGCGGAAACGCTTGCTGGGAAAGGAGGCGAGCGTGTCGTCGCAGACGGCGTTGCCGCCGCCGCCCGGCGCGCCCGCGCCGACGCCGCCGATGCGGAACTTCTGCTCGAACTCCGCGAAGTTAATGCGCCGGCGTGGACGCTCCTCGTCCAGCTCGTTGAAGATTGTACCTCGCACCTGGGGGAAAGAAGGATCATTTTATTTCATTTTATTCATTACGAAAACAATATAACACAATTTGAAATCCAATGACGAAAATAGCGCGTTATATACAAAAACATTAAAGAAAAGTCTTTTGAAGCTGCATAATAAGAATCGGAATCAATGAAAAAAAAATTTTGAATACAAATCGCGGGGGCAAATGATTAATATAAGATTAGTGAAGAATAAAATTATTCAATAACTTATCACTTTACTTTGCACTACAGCCGCAAATTCAGATTAAATAATGGTGTCTGATTCAAATCCGGCTCCAAGGACCATTTACTGATACGTCTCTTCAGTTGAAAACTTTGAAAGTCAACTCACTTGGTTAGGTTTGAGCGCAATCCAGTTAAGTGTAGGCAGCTTGTACTTGGTGTCGACCTTTCTCTTGATCGTCATTGCATCATGCTGCTGCGGCGGTGGCATTAAACCTGGAGCTGGTGGCGCGGGAGGGGGCGGTGCACCCAGGGTGGGGGGTGGAGGTGGTGGCGGTGCGGGAGCGGGTGGTGGTGGCGGTGTTGGGGCAGGGGCGGCCACCGGCGCCGGAGGGGGAGGTGGGGGTACATGGACCGGATTTGAGGAAGTACCGTTGGGTAATGTAGTGTGACCGTTGGAGTGCGCGTGCGTCGGTCCATTTGAAGTTCCGTTGCACAACACGTGTGATGATATAGCACCCACTGTAAGAGTTATTTATATATTTGATATATACAAAGGACCGTAGAATTTAGAATGAATGGAAACATTATTTTTAATATGTAAATCATATAATTTTAATTATCAACATAATTAAAACCTGTCTATCATTCTCTGGTGAACATAGGTCTTTCTTATATTTCACAACAAAATACAAATTCATGGCACTTGTAGTTTTGCATCTATCGATTTTTTGCAACACTTCCTAACTATTTAATATAAATAATAAGTACTTCATATTTTTTCAGTAGGAATATAAAACGGTGTGATTAGTCTGTCTGCGTTCAGACGTCCATCGTACAGAAGAAGTAACATCAGTTGGCAATTTCTATGTCATTTTAAAAACTGATATATCCATGACTATAAAACAGGGAAAACATTTTTTAATAATAGATTCAAGCTGAGAGTAAATAAATTAATATTTCTTATAGTAAAACAAAATATTATTGTATTCAAAGTACTCACTCGAAGCCCCTCTGGGCAACGATTTGGTTAGAGATTCCAACTCCTGCACCTTGGATTCTAGCATCGACTGTCGATTCCGAGAGTCCTGCTGCGCTCGACGTAACGTCGATACCTGGAGACATAACAAATGACAAGTTTAAAGCGTAACCTATAAATATTTATTAATAATTTATTAAGAGATAGCTTATTATCAAAAAATCGCTAAGGAAAAGTGGTACACTTATTCGCTTTTTTTTAATAGGCGAAAATGGAATGGTATCCCTGCCTGCGTCATTGGTATACGCTTGCGAGGCACCAGCGATAGATGACAGATGAGGATGAAGGCAGGTCAGTCGGCCCATCGTGCAGAATTCAACAAGAATTAATTACGATGGTTTCCAGGGGAACCGGATGGACGTCGACCTGATAGGGTGTATTGCTAGCAATGGGGCCACTCCAAACCATTTTTAACAATCCCTTCTCCCCCTCCCCACTCTTATTCCCTTTATTTTCACTGGTTATACTATAGTAGGGATAGGTGGAAAAAAAATTCACACTTCCCCAAGTGGGAAACGTTAAGCTGGGAGGAAAGGGATTATTAGTAATAGAATCTAACAGCCTCGTTGCTATCAATATATCCTGTCAGTTTGACCTCCATTCCCATTCCCCCATGGTCGTTCGTCCTGGAAACCATCGTCCACCTGATGGCAAGCGGTTACCGTAGCGTCTGAACGCCTGCAATACCAGGGGTATTACGCACACGTTGCCAACCCTGAAGAAACTTCTTTACACCTTTTTTGAAAAACCCCATGCTTATCTCTTGGAAAAACCTAGAATTGGGAAGCTCATTCAATAACCGGAGCGTTTGTGGAAGGAAACATCATTGGAACCAGTATGTACGCGATCATTTAGACTCTAAGATATGGGGGTGAACTCGCTGTCGATGGCGAGGTGTAGGATGGTAGACGGTGTTACCTCCTCGACGACCTGGCGGCGCGCCTCGGCCAGCTGGTCGCGCTCGTGGCGCACCTGCGCCAGCTCGGCCTCCAGCGTGGCCAGCTTCGCTATCGCCTCGCGCTCCAGCGCCGCCAGCCGCTCGTGCGCCTGAACACACAATACCAATTATTCCATACAAAACGCGATCAATGTCGAATCGACATATTAATAACCGAATGAATCCGAGTAAGGGTGGTAGGCACGTCCCCTGCAATGTTGAATAAATATTCATATAATCTAAGTAGATTATATAGTGTCCCCATACAAATACTTCACCAAAAACAGTTTTTTTTTTATACAACTTAGAATGGCAAACAAGCTGACGGCCCACTTGATCTAAAGTGGTAACCGTCGCCTATAGACATGAGCAGTACCATGGACATAACAGAGTATACTGTTTCGCCCATGATACCCCCCATGTGTTGCCATTCCTGAGGACTCAGGTGTTATTCCTCTGTACTCAGTAAATTCACGCCATATCCCACCCTTGAAACTGAAACACAGCCATGCAAACACAACTGCTTCACGGTTGAAACACGAATGGGACAGAGGTACCCAAGCAATCGACTTTTGTACAAAGTCTCCCTCTGGTATATTAAAAATAAGCACAACCATTTTAAACATCTATATATTTTTACATGTATATAAATTTGTATACAATACATACATAAGTATATATTTATAGAATATCGGACAAAATATTGGCGTTATGTTTTGATTTAAAAAAATGTGTCACATTTTAATCAGCCAAATGTCAATTTAGATTATTAAAAGTTTTTTTTACACTTACCCATTTTTTTACACTTAAGGCTCTATTTACCAGTACAAAATCTTAGGTTGCATACTAATAATGCTTGGTGAAATGTAGGCAAACAAAAAAACATCAATGTGCGTCACAAATGGATAACAATTTAGACTTACATGACCCAACTCATCCTCCAATTCATTGACTTTCTCCAGGGCTGCTGTCTTCGTTTCGCTGTCTTCCATCAGGGCTGCTACATCGAACACATTGTCCAGGTATGCTGAGATTTGCACCTTAACATGGAAGAATATGCAAAATTTAATTTTAATTACTTTTTATTATAATTAGTGTAAATTTAACACCAGAGGTTATTAATATAAAAAAAAAAACACTGAAATCACTCAATCGATTGATTGATGAGTGAAATGATTGATTTTTTTTTCTTTGCCACTTTTGTGGTATAAAAAAATACCTGACTGAAACCATTTCTAAATAATATTAATGTCTGCTAATAAAGCTGTCTTCATCAAAGAGGCAACCTCTGGTGCTTAGTTTCTTTGTCAACCTAAATGTAAAGAGTGCTCCAAATGGATGACTTTACTGTAAAGAATAAAGCAAGTAGGAAGTTTTTTTTTTTTTTTTATGTTAGCAAGATGTCTACCATGAAATGAAATTCCGAAATTTCGGGTTCAATTTCGTGTTTTTGTTCGTACCGAAATCGGCCCAGTAAATCAAGCTTAACGTCGTTCGTTATAAATAGTATCATAATAGTGTAAAAGAACAATATTTTAATATTTATAACCAGAATACATTATGTAATTTTAACATTAAACTTTTGTTTCGTTCGGGTCCGAAATTTCGGAAAACATTTCATGATAGGCCCTCAGAGGTATTTTGTTATATTTTATTAGGTCTTTTGTTATTTCCCTGAGACTTACATTATACAATGTGTAGAAACTCAACCAACCAAAAAATAAGTACCTGTAAGTCCTCACTCTCACACAACCGCAGCCTCTCCAGATAGTCGTCGAGCTTCAGCGCTGTGAACTCGTACTGCAGATGTACCCTGAAGTTCATGTCCTCCACTGAATGCACTATGATGTTGACGAACTGCATACACGCCACCTACAAATTGAAATTATAGTGTGATGTGAATTAACATAAAACGAGGATCCAACCTTCAAAAACGATGTGATCACAGCCACCCGAAAGTTGACCAAGTGCGAATCGTGCATTCTTACAAAAGAGAAGTTTGCAAAATATACGATGCCCTGAATAAAATTATTTATTCTCTATTAAAAAGTTAGAAAAGTATTAAATGTATAAAGGCATTAGATCTAATCAGCCACAATAGAAATAATAAATTAAGTAAATGTGACGTCACAAGTCTATTAGGATTGTGGGCATGCCCATCGTGCTCACAACGGTGCATCCACTTTTCATTAACATTGTTACAATAATAATATAAATAAATGAATAAATTTATCAAATATTATAAAATCGTGGTATTATAGTTTGTATAACTCATTCGTATTTAGGGAATACTGGACTTACATTCTAAAAAATCCATAGAAATTCCCATGGTTTAGGACAACGAGTTCACAGAAGTGAAATTGCGTAAACATTTAAAAGGAATTCTCCATTTTCCCAAATAGTGATGAAAATACATACGATCTCTTTTGCGTTGCCATTTCTGAGACTCCTTTATGAAGATCATAATCCTCAGGAATGGCAACACATAAAAGACACCATGGGCATCATATGGGTGATATTAATGGAGGCCCATCAGCTTTTATGTAATTCTATGGTATCATGAAAAGAAGTACTTCACATTACTCACCATGAATTCGATGTGAAACGTGTCATAGTTCATAAAGTATTCCATCAGGGTGTGAAATCGCCTCGGCTCCCCGACCACTTCTTTGAAGTTGTCAAACGCCGACAGTATGATCTGATGTCCACCTTTCACCAGGCAGATGGCTGCGAGTAGTTCTAGCACCAGAGCCTTCGTTCGCAATGAATGGTGTACTAATGAGAGCGCTATACTGTTGATAGCTTCCCGATGTTGAATCACCATGTTGAAGCCGTACTGAAAATTAAGAAAGATAGTTTATTAACTTGCCACTATTGAGCACAAGTCTCTGCTAACAAGAGTAAGACATAAGCCTATTTTAATACCACACAGGACGGTAGCACATCTGTAATTGGTGTTGTGGGTGATTAAGGCGGTAGTCACTTACCATCAAAGTTTACTTTTTTTTATTCTACTTAAAATGGCAAACAAGCTGACGGCTCACCTGATGGAAAGTGGTAACCGTTGCCTATAGACATGAGCAGTACTATGGACATAGCAGAGTATACGAGGTCTGTCCGGAAAGTTCGTATAAAAGTGTTCTGGAATGCGAGAAAGAGGAGTGGGGAGGCCAGGTAAGCGCAGGACCCCTTCCTTATGTCCCTAACAATGCTTCAGTTCTGGTCTGACCGCCGTGCGGTGCGAACTGGCTTGTCACGCCATCTGTGAAGTTACCTCTTAACGAAACCCCGTCGGCATGGAGCCCGCTTCCGTTGAAGAGCAGCGCGTCGTAATCAAGTTTCTCTCGAAACTCGGCAAGAATGGCCGTGAAAGCAAAGAGTGGAAGACATCCGGGGAACCACGAACAAAAAAATCAAGAAAATCCCGCTCAAATGTCAAGACAATGTTGATTGTTTTTTTCGATGTTCGGGGGATTGTCCATCAAGAATTCGTCCCTCCAGGCCAGACAGTTGATGGAAAATTCTACGTCGATGTGCTCAGACGCCTCAAAGCTCGTGTGGCACGAGTTCGTCCAGAATTGGCGCGAGAGGGGCGTTGGATTCTTCACCACGACAATGCCCCTGCCCACACCTCTCTTGTTGTCCGTGAGTTTTTGAGTAAAAATTCCATTACGGTGACCGAACACCCCCCTATTCGCCGGATTTGGCCCCGTGTGACTTCTTCTTGTTCCCAAAAACCAAATTGGTACTTCGGGGGCGGCATTTGGGGGACATAAATGAGATAAAAAAAGCTACGACGGGGCAGCTGAGAAACCTACAACCAGAGGACTTTCAAGGAGCCTTCTCACAGTGGAAACGGCGTTGGCACAAGTGCATTATGTCACAGGGGGAGTACTTTGAAGGGGATAAAATTGATTTACCTGAATAATTGTAAAATAAAATTTTTAAAAAACTTTTATACGTACTTTCCGGACAAACCTCGTACTGTTTCGCACATGATACCCCCCATGCGTTGCCATTCCTGAGGACTCAGGTGTTATTCCTCTGTACCCTGTAAATTCACGCTATATCCCACCCTTCAAACCGAAACACAGCCATACAATCCAAATATACGCTGCTTCACGGTTGAAACACGAATGGGAGAGAGGTACCCAAGCAATCGACTTTTGTAGAAAGTCACCCTCTTTGTATCTTTATTTCATTACTATATGGAGAAATTTAGATATTTGTCAGTGGGAAAGAAAACAGCGGACTACGCTATATTCGGAGTTGTAAATTACAGTAGTTCATCTTTAATCGAATATGTAGATGCAGTTCGCATCTCGACCAGAGGGAGATTTTGTACAAAAGTCGATTGCTTGGGTACCTCTGTCCCATTCGTGTTTCAACCGCAAAGCAGTTGTGTTTGCATAGCTGTGTTTCAGTTTGAAGGGTGGGATATGGCGTGAATTTACAGGGTACAGAGGAATAACACCTGAGTCCTCAGGAATGGCATCGCATGGGGGATATCATGGGCGAAATAGTATACTCTGTTATGTCCATGGTACTGCTTATGTCTATAGACGACGGTTACCACTTTTCATCAGGTGGGCCGTCAGCTTGTTTGCCATTCTAAGTTGTATAAAAAAAAAGTCTTAATAGTCACGAAGTAGAAATGTCTTATCGACAAGATAAAGTACGAGGCTTTTGAAGACTACACAAACAGAAAGTGACGGAAAAAAACTAAGAAAGCTCCCTAGACACAATCTTTAGCCAACTGCCCCATGAAGTTTATTTATGAGTAGTGAAATTTCTCCTAGTATGGTTGTCAGTATTTGCCAAGACCTTAAGGATCCGAAACATGGTCACGGGCATCACTTTGTGTGAATAATGATAGTAGAATTTTTATTCTAATTAATTCGTCTTTTGTACTGGTGTTTTGTTTGGGATTTGTTGCTCTTATCACCTCTTATATTCTTCTAGGAGCTGTACTCGAGTTACTAGTTGATTTAATGGATGATAATGAAGTGGTAACCCTGCCTGTGTTATCGGTATACACTGGCGGGGCACTAGTAAGGAACAATAGATAAGGATAGAAGTAGGTTAGTTAACCTATAGTGACGAATGAAACAGGCATTAATCACAATGGTTTCTAGGGGGAACTGCGTGGAGATCGACTTGACAAGGCTTGCTAGCAATAGGGACATTAGTCCCAATTACTAACAATCCCTTTCCCTCAGCGTAGAGGGGAGAGCGTACCTTGTTGTTCATGATGGCGCGCATGCACATGATGCAGACGTGGATGTCGTCGGTGGAGGCGCCCATGTTGAGGCGTGCGGCGTGGCGCGAGCGGCGGCGTGCGGCGGCGGGGCTGGCCGGCTCGGCCTCCGCGTCCGACGAGCGCGCGCGCCGCCGCCACGCCGCCGGCAGCGACGCCGCGCCCTCCGCGCCTGCACCCGCACCCGCCCCCGCGCTGCACTCCGACGTCGTCGTGTTCGCTGGACGATCACACACTTCATTATTACCGCATACCTAAACGCGACTTTGTACGCAGAAGACTTTTTTTTCTCGAGAACGCTTAAGCTGTGGAATGAACTCTTCTATCAAGGTTTTCCCTAGAAACTACAGTACTAGGGTTTTTAAAAAGGGTGTATTAAGGTTGCTTCAAGGACGAGAACGCGCTTGTGACATCTCTAGTGTCGCAGGCGTCAATAGGCTGCAGTAACTGTTTACCATTTACCATTAGACAAACTATATGCTTGATTGCCACCTTCGATTGAGCCTTATTATTTAAAAATAATAGACGTAAAATCTGTTTAGGTCTATTTAAGTTAATAAGCCAAGTCGTTTAGTTTCAAAAAACGTTTGTCCATTTTTCGTCATTAAGCTTGTTTATAAATTCCCGTCATTCAACACAGGACGTATGCAATATTGAAAGATGATTATAGCTGAGATTTAGTGCTTCGAGATCTTCACGTCAGGAAAATCGGAAACACACGAATGGTATTCGTGGTCTAAAGATTGTCAAAACAGATTATTATCAAGCTAGCTTTATTACTATTTGTTTACATATAGTAATCTTTCCAACTTTCAAATGTTTGCAACAAACCTTGATTGATCCCATCACTGGACTGACTCCTGGCCAGCGCGATCCTCTGCTCGTGCCGCATCATGCTCAACCTGAAGCTCAGGTAGTCGATCAGCACGTCCAGCCCTTGGTTCTGTTCGTTAAGAAATTCGCGGACCCATCTGTAATTGATAAATAAATGTAAAAATACTTCGTGGTTTAGCAGTTTAGTACTCGACCCTTAATAGTTTACCACTCGTGATCTAGTAGCTTACTATTGGAGGCCTAACAGTTTATCACTTGTGGCCTAGTAGATTACCACTCGTACCATAACATTTTACCATTCGTCGTCTAGCTGTTTACTACTCGCGCCCTAACAGTTTACCATTCGTGGTCTAGCAATTTACCATTCATGGCTAGCAATTTAGTACTCCTGGTTCTAGTAGCAGTTTTCTATTCGGAGCTTAGCAATTAAACTTTTTCTTCAATCGTTACATTCTGGGCAAACTGGTCTTTGTAGCTAATAAATGGGTTGTGCCATTGTAGCGTGCTTTAAAGTGTGTAACCAAGTCATTTATTGCTGCCTTCTGGTATATTTGTAAAGAGAAACTTTATGTAACACGTCTTGATCGGGGGGAAAGGGATTGTTAGTAATGGAGACTGAGAATTACATCGCTAGGAATATACCCAACTAGGTCGACCTCCTCGCTGTTCCCCCTGGAAACTATCATTAATTGCAGATGAATTCATCATGATGGGCTAACTGGCCTGTTTTTATCCTCATCGATCATCCTTCACTGGTACCCTGCCAGCGTATCCCGTTAGCGCAGGCAGGGTGATCATTCCATTTTCATCCAATAAAAAAAACACGTCTTGGTCTTATCCATCCGAAATTAGAATCAAATTTTCGATCAACCACCGTTATAAAATTATTTCTTTAATCAATTGTCAACACAATAGCACTAAGTTTAGATATATCTATACTCACTCTATATGATTGGTTCGTAATGATATCTCCAAGTCCCTGAGGACTTGGGTCGAGGTCGAGTCGCCCACCATTTTTCTTTTCTGCAAAAGAAATCATTTACCATTAATTCGAGCGTACTTAAAACTTATTTCCGACTATTTAAGTTACTTATCCGAGTGACGAGTAGTTTAAAAGTAAAACGTATTTGAAAGATAGAATTTCAGTCCAACAGAATATTTTTTATTTAACTATGGAAAAAAGAATGAAGAATGTTCCAATAATTTAAAAATTTATATAGAATTAAATGTTAAAAATAAACAAAAGTAAATTTTTATCACTGGATTTTGGCCTTAGTAAACCCGTATATACATAATAATAATTTTTAATGCCCCTGCGCAGACGAGGGGCATTTTGTCTGCAGACAAAATTTCAGCATACAACTGCTGATAAGATATTATATAAGATCTCTAACATTGCATGCCATATGTTGTGTGTTATGTAAATACACGATTAATATGAAGAAAACTATTCAAAAGTCCATCGTACAAATGTAGATCGTTTAAATAAATAAATAACTAAAATAAAATAAAAATAGCCTTTATTCCTGAATTACAGATTCTTTTTTAAATTGTAAATATGTATAAATAATTAATGTTGACATCAGCAACATCTTATTTTTAGGTTGTTCTAGAACATAGGCCTTCTCTATATTTCTCCATTGGTAACAATTCCTTGCAGCTTGTCTCCAGGCTTTGGGCAAAATCATCCTCCCATCTTCTTATTGGCCTACCTCGGTTTCTTTTTCCATCACGCGGATACCACTCAAATAAATCTTGGGTCCATTTATTTTTTGATGACCTCATGATGTGCCCAGTCCATCGCCATTTGAGCTTTTTTATTTTATGAGTCACATCTGTAGATGTAGATCGTTTACGTAGGCCTTTATAGTTGGTACACGTTATATACTATCCGAAACGTATAAACAAATATCGAGGGCCGTGGGTCAATCTAATATATTAAGTAAACATTCCATTCATCCGCCTTTAGAAGTACACCCATCACGTTTACGGGATGGTACAAATCAATCATAAAGGGACTCGTAAACGGTTGTCGATCAAATGAATGAAATTAAATGTAGAATTTATATATCTTTTAGAAAATCAGTAACTTTAGTTGTGTTAAAACTAATATGGAACCTACGCGGAAGTAAACTCTATGTATTACAAAAATAATTATCAGAATCGGTTTTAAATTCGTGAAGATAACAATAAGAATACTTTTTTACGATTCTACCGTCCATAAAAAGACCTTAAAAAATGTAAATATTCAACGACTATATGAGTAGTAATTTTTTTATTGATTGACTTATCAGTATTCTGTAACATACAAAAACAGACTAATTGAGAACTTTTTCCCTTTCGAAGTCGCTTAAAAATAACTTCGTTTAACTATGTTAAGGCATTGACCCTATCAATCAGTGATGTGGAGAGAAAGAAATCGTTTTCCAATATTCTATTGAAACTCAATAGAAAAAACCGGACAAGTGCGAGTCAGGTTCGTGCACCGAGTTTTCCGTACAAATTATAATAAATAAAAAAACATGTTTTGCAAAAAAAGGATTTTTTGTGATTTAACTACAAATTTACGGTTTGTTTAAATTCAGTTTTCGGAGTTTCCCTATACTTGTGCTGTACAACAACGCTTTTTGTCAAATTTCATGGCACTAGGTCAATGAGAAATATCCTATAAGTTTCGATTTCCTTGCAAATGTCAAAATATACACTATAAACGGCCGTCTCGGGGGGAGAAGGGATTGTCAGTAATGGGGACTAGAAGCCACATTACTAGCAATATACCTTATCAGGTTGACCTCCTTGTGGTTCCCCCTGGAAACCATCGTGATTGATTTATTGTTAGGTTCGTCACAGTAGGCTAACTGACCTGCTTCATTTTTGTCTATCATCTCTCACTGGTGCTCCGTCAGTGTATACCGATAGCGCAGGCGAGTATGCCATTCCATTATCATCCATTAAAAAAACAACCGTCTCTTTTAGTTGCGTTTAATCAGAAGTTAATTGTTTCATAATTTAAGAAATTACAGACTTGAGTATTCGATATTAATTTAATGCAAAATTTTAGCTTGGTACCTCTACAGGTATCAAACTGAAATTTTTCGTTGCCGAGAAAAAAGGTCTTTACTGACGGATAGACAGTTGGAAAACAAAATGATCTGATATAAGAATTCGGTTTTATCTATTGAGGTACGAATCCCTAGGAAGAAAGACGAATTGATAACCTCCATCAATTTGAAGTCAAAACGTTATCGACAGCTTAGCGCATATCACTTGGACCAAGTCTGGTTCATAACACGACATCACTGGATACGTATGACTCAGGGATATTACTGTCCCACAATGCATTCGACCTGACCTTTCGCTTGCGACCCGATCGCCGATTTGGCCTGGATAATTATACGGGACGCTTGAGTTTGTTTGGCGAGTGCCACACAATAAAAAAAAGTGCATACTGCTCTGTAAAAAAAAAAAAACACCATTGAGGTGATAAACGCACAGATTGAAAATATTTGAATTTAGAACGCTAAATAGTATACTTTTTTTTAATGGGTGAAAATGGAATAGTAATTCTGCCAGTAATACCGGTATACACTAGTAGGACACCAGTTAGAGGTAATTGATAAAAATCTATCGTGATTAATTCACCAGGAATTAATCACGATAGCGTAGAGATGACGGGAAAGTATTAAAGATATTACTAGTAATGGGGCCGCTAGTCCCCATTGCTAATAATTCTTCCTCCTCCCTCCGCCGCTGAATAGTTTTGCCGATCTGAATTGAAAAGCGAAACAGAAGTTTCAATCGTCACAAAAATTAATACGGGACCAATGTGTGAGTAAACTGTACCGATTCTGAACAAATTCATAAAAAATATGTGCACGCATACCAACACACATTACAATTTTATCATTCTTTTATTGTTATGGTAGTATCATTTATATTTTCATGGGTATGGAGGTATATGACCTTTTGTTACGGGTGACATCATTTATTAAAAGTTCACACAACAAGGATTTTTTAAATGTATCAAATTTATTACCGAAGTAAATATGTTTTTATTCTTTTTTCATGTAAAAAAAAAAAACTAGTTTATAATAATTATTTACGCTACATGAATTGACAAAAATATACAGTACATTAATTTAATTCTACGCGACTTCATCGATAAAAGCTGTTGATATTGGAGATTGTAGGCACTTGATTAAATTTAGATTTAATCTTTGTAAGCGAGAAAATAACTTATAAAGACGCGTATATAAAAACACTAGCGACCCACCTCGGTTTTTCACGAGATTTTAAAGTATATAACGCTTACATTTTTCGCATCAGCTTGTTGCGTCAAGTATGAATTAGATGGGCATAGTAAAGTATCCCTAAAAAATAGACATATGCCATTGCGAGCTTTTTTGTAGACCTATAAAAGACAAACAATCCCACTATACATTGTTTTATTATTTTAAATAGATTAGGTAGCGTTTTCAATAAAACTTTTTTTTTATTTTTTTTTTATACAACTTAGAATGGCAAACAAACTGACGGCCCACCGGATGTAAAGTGGTAACCGTCGCCTATAGACATGAGCAGTACCATGGACATAACAGAGTATACTGTTTCGCTTATGATACCCCCCACGCGTTGCCATTCCTGAGGACTCAGGTGTTATTTCTCTGTACCTAGTAAATTCACCTCTCAATCGATATAATTTCTTCCGACATATTGAACAATTATCGTCAAACTTCAACGGGTTAATAGAACACAATACTAATATTATACGTATAAACCTTCCTCTTGAATCACTCTATCTATTGATGAAACCCACGTTTAAATCAGTCGTGCAGTTTAAAAGATCTAAGCGTACAAACGGCAGGAAGTAGGTTTATTTTATACTATGTAGAGATTTGTAGCGTATATTAACTTCTGTCATCATTAAAACAATCTAGCAACGAACAGTTTTTGTCAAATTCGTAAGGTACTGAAACTAATTACGCGTGAAGGCTACATTTTATAGAGCTACGCCTCACTGAAGGTGTTAAGGGGTTCGATAACAGAATTCCGTAAACGATATCAAAGACCTGTGAAACGAACATAATAATATGTTGCCACTGTAAAATATTTTGCGTGACATTCGGTTTTTGTTTGACCATTTAAATGAATTTCACAAATAAATGGATTTTGTATGCCAGATTCTGGTGAAGGGCGTGAACAGTACTTAAATATAATGTCCCATCCTTTTTACCACTTTTCAAACAAAATAAAGTTATTTGTATAAATAATAAATATACAATTTTCAATATTTTTCACCACATAATTAATTTCTATTTTTCCAAAGGCTGACTGGGAGAGAGAGAGAGAGAGAGAGCTATATAGCATTATGGCCGACTTTTGTACCAAACATTGTCAATACGTAGTCAATATCAATAAAGAATAAATAAATAAATATCCGATTTTGTTTGAGTTGTGTATTTGAAAGTTTGTTTGGTTTCTCAGTGAATTTGACGATCAGGCGACTGGTGCGCTTACGTAGTATTTTCCGTCTAAATTAAAAGTAAAGTAAAATAGATAAACTTATAAAAGTAATATTTAAAATATAAAATATCCTATAACGCAGTACGTTTTTGTAGATCATTTTTCTAAGCTGTGATCATTAACGATGTTTTTTAAAGACCTATTACCTATAGGATAGAAGGATTTTGGGATTATTGGGATTTTATTTAGAACCATATATATAATATAATATGAATCAAGTCGTTGGGCTGCCTACTAAAGGCAGGGCTTATGTCATACTCGTAAACGTAATATTCATTTATCATACTCGTAAATGAAGGTTACTTTTTGAATACACATAAAATACAAAATGCTATATTTAATATTACTAGGTCAAATATTATAATTCTCGCTTCCTTTTCTCAAATATTTATTAGTACTCTCTCTAAACAAACCACTTTGCGAAATAGTTTGTCTATTTAACATTGTCGAGGTTTTCTCAGATTTTTCTTGATTGAAAACAAGATACCAGATGTCTATAG